CATGAAATTTAGCATTTCAGCTGATGATCATATTAAGTGCAGAGAATGTGAAGTGATTCAACTGATTTTGTTAAACTAGTTGTTAATCCGAAAAAAGTCTCCAATCCGATTTGATTACGCTTGCTGATCGCAAGCGTAACTAACAACGGAACAAAACTTGTGAAGCAGAAACAAAGGTACAACAATTCAAATTTTCTTAAGTTCAATTTCTCGCTTACTTAATAAAACAAGGTTCTGCTGGGACAAGAAAGCCAGAACACAGGATTCAAAAACAATCTGGAAAAAGTTAGGGTTCGAAAGTAAACTAAGTTCAATTTTTAGTATGAAAAAATTTTCACGGGCAAGGTCACGTTACCAATTGGAGTAACTAATGCGCCGATCAATATTTTGGTTTGTAAGTAGTTTTTTCAGTATCGTATTAAATGGTTTAGATTTTGCCTAACTTTTACTTCGAGCGAAGAGAAGATGATGCTTTGAGTCATTTCGAAAATTGATTAATTACAGTAAACACAGAGTCCTTTTTAAAAACTGTTATTTTGAGTAGATTATATTCAATTTTAAACTGATGTTACAAATACAATTTAAAAAAAATTTCAAATCCAAAAACAATAACTCAAATTGTGTTCGAAATTTTTGATTGAAGATTTGGTGAATGACACTGAGACAGCAAATTATGGTGTGAAAATTTAAAAATGGCACTAAGGTTCCCTACAGCTGCTTTTTAAGATATAAAACACATTCTAGATGGACGTTTTAAAATTTATAGTTTATTTTTGAACAGATTTTGCCTGTTAATTAAAATTGCGATTGTTTAGAAACTTGGTGTTTGTATTTGTAAAAGCCTTTTTTCGATAAAGAAGCGCAGTGAACAACCTCAATTTCACAACTAAGTTTCCAGGCAGATATTATTCCAGGTAACCTGGAATAATTCCATGCAAATAAATTTCAGACTAATAAAAAACCATTGTTTTGCCTACATTGCAAGTTTTTAATTCTTACCGATACAAAAATTTAATTATTGTTTCAAAGACAAATTTTCAAATTTGGATGTCAGGTCATTGCTGTATTTTTTCTAGCGCAAAAAAAACTACTATAAAAAATTCTGACAAAATTCGACGACTTTTATTAATGATTTTTTCTTATTTCAGTTGTACTCTTACTTTTTAATCAATTTTTTGTCTTCTTTTTTCAACGTTTTTTTTTCAAAACAAGTGCGTTAGACAATGTATTAACAATGGCTCCAAATTGAAATTGATAAAAAATTGGACACTAGGAAAAACACCTTGTTCGATTTGGAGGGCTTCCGAAATTATTTTTTTTATCTTTTCAATTTTATTTTTTGTTGCATTGTAAGCCAAACTGTGCACTAAATAGGCGCATAATATTCTGTATGTACGTTCCTGGATTCCAGAGACAAATCTATCTCTAAACATGTTCCAAAATGTATGGCTTCCACTTACAAGCTTTCCTTGGACTCCACGTACGAATTGTTGTAACGTAATTTTTTTCGGTACATTAGTTTTGTTGCGGATTCCGCAACGAGCGAATGTAGATAGCAGGTACGGATTCCACAATTATAAGCGGATTCGGCAAAATTATGCGGACTTCACTGACAATTTGCGGATTTCGCTCAAACTTTGCGAAATCCGCTTGGAGTTTGCGGATTCCACGACAATTCAAGTTTACTAAGCCTATTTTTTATTAATTGCTTATAGATTCCGCTTTCTTGTTGCGGTTCCCGCAAAGTTATTTGTTTTCGCAGAATTTTTGAGCATTAGAGTGTTTTAGCTATTTGTCCGTGGAATTCAAAACAGCAAAGAAGCTCAGAGAAAAATAGCCATGTTGCGGGCTTTGCAACAATTCTGTGGTGAATTGTAGGCTCATTTTATTTCTGTTCATTCTTTTATCCATTTGACCATTATTGTGGCGAAACGTAGTTAGTTTGTGGTTCACTTATAAAAGTTAACTTAGAAGATTTCAATTTAAATCTCTGTTTAATTGATAAGAAAACTATGCATAAAAAAGTAATATGGAAATATGGTTTTCAATGCGAGCTTAAATTTACCTTCAAGCATACAAAAAACCTATATACTCTAAATTTGAAAAAGAATCAAAAAGGTCACTCAAATATTCCTCCATAGACTTTTTCTAAGGCTGTAGACACAGAAATAAAGCAAAAAAAATACCAAGCGAGCAAACCGGCACACAAGAGTGTACGCGGTATTTCTATGGATCCCCCTTTTTTGAAAATCTGTAGAAATTTTTTTGATACAAAAACTTGATTTTTGCAGAAAGTGATAAAATTTTCCAAAGCGTCTCAAACCAAATAAAAAACCCATTAACTTTCATATTATCTGTTTTTGACTCACAGAAGTTCTAGACAAACATGCCAAGCAAGATATTTGCATTTTAAATGAGCAGCTGAACAAAATTTACAACGCAGAAACAAGGCAGACAATCTTTGAGCAGACACCAGTTGAGCCGAAAGAACACTGATTATGTGAAAACGTTTAAAAGTTTCAAATCCCCACCGAAACTACCCTGTGGTAACTAGACCCATACAGTAGTTAAATTTGAAATTTCATGAAATTTAGCATTTCAGCTGATGATCATATCAAGTGCAGAGAATGTAAAGTGTTTCAATTGGTTTCGTTAAACTAGTTGTTAATGCGAAAAAAGTCTACAATCCGATTTGATAACACTTGCTGATCGCAAGCGTAATTAACAACGGAACAAAATTTGTGAAGCAGAAAAAAAGGTACAACAATTCAAGTTTTACAAATAAAGTTCAAAAGTTCAATTTCTCGCATACTTAATAAAACAAGATTCTGCTGGGACAAGAAAGCCAGACCTCAGGATTCAAAAACAACCGCCGTACCTCAAGTCCAAGTGTGAAGGAATCTGGAAAAAGTTGGGGTTCGAAAGTAAACTAAGTTCAATTTTTTGTAAGAAAAAATTTTCACGGGCAAAGGTCACGTTCCAAATTTGAGTAACTAATGGGCCGATCACAATTTTGGTTTTTTAAGTAGTTTTTTCAGTATCGTATTAAATGGTTTAGATTTTGCCTAACTTTTACTTCGAGCGAAGAGAAGATGATGCTTTGAGTGACTTCGAAAATTGATTAATTACAGTAATTACAGAGTCCTTTTTAAAAACTGTTATTTTGATTAGATTATATTCAATATTAAACTGATGTTACAAATACAATTTTTAAAAAAATTTCAAATCCAAAAACAATAACTCAAATTGTGTTCAAAATTTTTGTTTGAAGATTTGGTGAATGACACTGATACAGGTCTGTTATAAAAAGTGACCTTCAACATAGCCATCTGCCAGTGCGAAAACACTTTAAAAACTGTGACCTGTTTTTTGAAAAATTCTACTTTTAAATTTCAAAGAAAACAAAAATTTGCCTGAATTTTTTTTTTTTGGATTTTTAAAGCAATATATGTTTGATATTTTTCTTGATAAACTTAGCCCAAATGTGAAAAAACCCGATCAAATTTTTATTCCGCTAGAAAACCTGAAAATTTAAATCCACTTTTGAAACTAGAAATGGATCACTTTCTTCTCGATCTCTACATTTTTGCAGTTCAATGGAACAGTTTGGCCTCCTTTTAGTAAAAGAAATTGACTGAAATTTTACAAATCAAAATCCGACCAGAAGCAAATTAAATTTAGGCCTAAGAATCTTAAGAATTTTCCTGATGTCTTTGACTCCTAAGAATGAGTACAGCAACCTGAACGCGTGTAATTTATAAAATAATTGCATTTTGATTACATAGGCGGTAAACAATTAGCTTGTCAACAGGAAGCAGAAAAAAGTATAACTTTGGTCGTAAAAGTACTTTTTAATTCTTTTTTTTTCTGGAGGCTACAAATGAGAAGTGGCAAAAAAACCTTCAATTTGTCTTATAAACGCATATAAAAAAACTTTGGCATGTTTTCAATCTTTATTTTCTGACAGTCACGCAGTTTTTGTTTCAGAATACTCAGTTTTTCCATTGCAGTGATTTAATCCGCGCATGAAACAACTCGCCAAGATTTTAATATCCTGAACTCCAGTGTCTTTACTCGAAAATGCTGTTGAACAGGGCAAATTAGAGCAAAATTATAAGTTTATGCTTACTTTTTAAACTCAATTGGGCGAAAAAGTAAAATACATATTTATGTTTTTTCCGCTTCTTGCTTGCGCCTCTTTGTTTTTTTTATTATTTGACGGAGGACAGCGAGTCTATCACATTTAAATTTTAGCCAATTAGTTCTTTCACGTCAACAGAACTTTGATTACTGGATACCTGAACCTTCTGGCTATATTTCTCGCCGGAAAGCAACGTGGACAGTGACGTCCCGCATGATGCAAGGACAGAATGTTGGAAATTCAAAATGTTCGATTTTTGAAAATTGAAAAATAAAACAAAAATTATAGTATATCTGCACGAAATGTACAGCAAAACTTTGCTGAGCTGCTATAAATCATTTTACTGTTAAATATTACTTCGGTTTTCTGCAACAGTCATTGGGACAATAGGAACGTAAAGCGTTTGATTGGTTTAAAGCTTTCCACCGTTCGGTCCCTCTATCATGAGAATAGCCCCCAATGGACGAATTGCGTTGTGTCTCGACCCTTCAATTCGAAAAAAGAAGCATTTCTGTCTGGGCTTCAATTGTTATGATATTCATTGCCCATTGAAGCATAAAATTCTTTAAACTGGTTTTTAATTAGATTGCCTTTGCAAGTGTACCGCAATCTTTTTGAATAAGATCGCACAAGCCAAATTTTTTTGCAACTATTGCTAAACTCAAGCTGAGGCGACCTCAGTCTTTATTTAAGCAGTCAAAAACTTACGCGAAGAAGCAAACAGTCGTGGAATCGAACTGTCTTCAAAAGGAATATTGTCTGTTTTTCCTCACTGTTTGATATAATCAGAAAAAGTAATTGCTTCTAAACCATTTCAATCGATCACAACTCCTGTAGAAAACTTTATTCACGGAATACTTTTCTAAACAATTTTCATACACAGTGACATTTGATTGATCATTTATTTAAGTTTCACTTGTTTTTTTATTTTTTTTTTGTATTTTCATCCTTTTTTGTAACTGGAACTCTTCTTTTTCAGCTTTTCCTTCACTTTACATTTGGGACAGTACCACTTCTTCTTACTTATTCCAGCCTCTGGAATTCCCACACAGGGATAGTGGAACCATTCAATGGGGCAATCCACATTATCACATGCTATCATGTTACCATACGAATACTCGTTACAAATACACCATCTCTGTTCGCTTGAATCTGCATTTGAATCATGATTAGTATCATCGCCACTTGTATCGTTATCAGTCTGACTAGTATTCCCAGATGAATTATAACTACTGTTATGAGTATTATAACTAGAGTCTAACTTCCTTTTTCTTTGCTTGTTAGATCCAATTATAGGCGATAAAACATATTGAGAAGAGTCGATTCCTGAGGGGACGTAAGCGGGGATCGAACCTCCGACCCCTGAGGCCGCGCGTATTCGCTCAATGCTCAATTGTCGCTTAGGCCTATTTTTGATCATGTTGCTTTCGTATTCGCGACTGGCAGAGTTGTAGTTTTTGGCTAGGTTTTCGGTAACCTTTTCCAGCATGTCGAGACTAAAAAAAAACAAATTGTACTCAGATTAATTTTTTCAAAAATTACAAGCCTGTGGTTTTACAACTTGTGTATGAAGATCAATTAAGCGTGGATTCTCGTAATCATTTCAGGTGTCAGATTTCGATATGATCGAATTATGTACGTTAATGATTTACTTACAGCAAATTTTGATTTGCAGCGCAAAAAAGAAAAACATACCCATTAGACAGTTGGAAAAGAGTCAAAGAACGCAAGTAAACAAAAAACTACTGGCTTGTTTTTTGAATAAATCTCAATTTTCAAATTTCAAGAAAAAACAGATGCACTTAAAGCTTTTTGAACTTTTAGAACAATTTATGGTTGACACTTTTTTGATAAAATTAACTCAATTTGAGAAAACTGGATCAACAAGTAAATCTTTAATTCCGCTGGGAAATCTGAAAGTTAAATTCAGCTTTCGAAATCAGAATTCGGTCACTTTTTTGGTGAATTTTACATTTTAGCTGTTCGATAGTGGAGCTTGCCTTCTTTTTAACAAAGGAAATCAACTGAACTTAAAAATTAATCAAAAGTCAAACCTAGAAAAAGTTAACCTGAGCCTGAACTAACTTAACTTTAAGACTTTACCTCAAAAAAAAAACTAAAAAAATCATCGCGACCCATACAGGAGTCTGCACTACCTTCATCGAACTCTTAAAAATCACTTATCATAGACGTTAGTTTACTCTAATGCTCAACCATGATGTATCATTATCAGTCGTCAAATCATACGCAAAAATTTCATTTTCTTCCAAATTAAAAATTTTGAAGCTAGCAGACCACTGCTTACCTTTTGGGCAATGTGTATCGCTCTTCTTGATGGCCAGAAAAACCTTCAAAGGACTTCGAATCTGAAACAATAAACGCATACAAACAAAGGTTTGAAAAGTGACTTAGATGCCAAGCTGCACTTCGCATTCTTACAAATTTTTCTTGACCTTTACACTTCTGGGGTTTGATGAATGATTTTGACTTCGGTTCAACAAAAAAATTTAAATGAACTGTAATCAAAAGTACAACAGCGAAAAATCTAATTTAAGGGTGATCAAACTTCAACGTTATTATTATTGTTGAGAACTAAAACACCAAAAAAGCATCAAGACCTAAATAAGTGTCTTCAGTGCTTGAAAATTGTTCTCTTCGCCAAGCCAGAACAATTTTCTTTTCAAAAAATACATGGTAGGGCAAAAATCCTTTAAAACAAAAAAGGATAGTCGGTTGCTGTGTAATTAGCACAAAGGATTCCGACCGAATTTATTTTGTTTTTTTTTTTGCAATTTTTGTTGTCCAAAGTTCAGGTTATTTTTTTCTAAAAAGGGCAATTCAATTAGCTTCACAGATGCAAGAAAAATGTCAACTATACTTAAAAATAGCGTGAAAATTGAGAAATAGCGTTAAAATTTTGAAAGTAGTAGAGAAATAGGGATTTCAGCCTCGCAGAAAAATTAATCTAGTTTTCTTTTTAGAATCCGAATTACGACCAAAAGGGCTTTAATATGATACCACACTTGACCCTTACGAGTTTTATTTGAGGTAGTCAAAATTGGCTGGGAAAAAACCGACCATAATCAAAATTTCCTTTTCACTTTTCGAGAGTGGTCGTAACAATAAAAAACCCAAAACGGCTTTTTGCGAGAATTCAAATATCTAAAAATCTCCATTCTCGAATTGCATACTGGAAGGCACTCAATTTAGCAATAATGAATAATCCAAATCACCCATTCATGTTGGTAAACAAAGCTTACAGCAGAAAAAACCTCATGCTAGCATCCGAACACTTGACCATCTTCTGCTCAAGAGCCAAATTAGTGAATTTTACACGTCGGAAAAAATGGCTTCGCCATAAATTTGAACCCCACTTGAGTTTCGAAAGAATTCTTGCAAATCACAAGTATCTCGGTTACTATGCTTGTCTTATTATGCAATTATTTTGTGCGTATTCCTGAATATCATAAGCAGAAAAAATGATACTAGAAATTAAATGAAGCTCGTTATCCTTATAAGGGTACCGCGACAACTTGCAACAAAATACAAATCGCAAAATTTATGGAAACCGACAACTCGCAAAGTTTTAAAACTAAATATATAATTTGAAAATTTCGGCTCAAGGTTGCCGTAGCGCCGTCGACAGTTTGCCGCGATAACCGGTTCTAAATATTTCGTCTAAACTCCAGCGCTTTGATGGCAAACTAGCAACACGTTGGCGCGACGGCAGAGGTGAATATTTCGCGCGTTGTCTTTTGTTGCGAGTTGTCGCATAACGCATTATAGGTTAGCATTATTTAGTTGCACATTATGAAATTTGGGAACGCGCATCAGAGATTAGAACCAAACCAAACCCACACACCCCCCCCCCCCCCCCCAATAATCACTACCTGGTGGTGAAGTGGGGGGCGTGTAGAAGCCGAAAGTGCTCGACTTCCTATGTCCCTGCACCCACTCATCACCCTCGTCGTCATTGTCGAACTCCCCCTCCCCCTCATCCTCTTCGTCCCCTCCCTCCCCCTCCCCATAGGGCGGCTCTCTTTTCATAGCAAGAGGTGTACTGCTACTGTAGTTGTTGTAAGGTCTGTATGTACCTACTGAAGATGCAGATGATCGCGGCGCTTCTGTTTCAGGTCGACGTGATTGATGCTGCGATGATGCTACACAAAATGAAGGTAGTTTTTACCTGAACAAAATCAAGCCAAGAAACAGTTGAAAACGTGCATTTGAATTCAAACCACGTGAAAAAAAAAAACGAAATTTACTATTTTTTTTTGGACTTCGATATTGACTAGAATGAATTGTGACAAAAAGCCACTCATATTACGAGATATTTTAAAGAAATTTTTTGCTAGAATTAACTCATCTGATTAAAACTATATCAACGATTGGTTTTGAATAAATTCAAAACTAAATACATTAAAGCAAAAATTAGTGAGCAATTATATTGCTCTATCTCCGTCTAATTCAGTTCTTTTATTCCTTTTTTTTCCAAAGACTAAAAACTGCATCGTATAACAATGACTTGGGGAAATTACTTACTGGCATACCAATTGACTCTGGTATAAAAACTACTGGTACAAAAGTTATCTGTAAAAAAAACTTTTCGCCGAACAATTTTATGATGTTTTTTTTTGAAATTTATTTACTCGCTCGAAATTAGACATTTAGACTAGAACTCCAAAACTTCAAACTATTTTACTCAACACTCAGAAAACTTTTCAAAAATTTTCAATGTCGTTCGAATTACTTCCGATAATTATTTGTGGAATCTGAATTTTTTAAGTAAAAAGCTAAAAGCAGCCCAAAGACAAAGCTCCTCCCACTTTCTGTGGTCGGAAACAAAAACCAGTAAAACAATTTTTCAAACCAATTCTGTAGGAAGCCTGAGAAATAAACCGATTCCAAACGCATCTGAGAAAATCATCTATGTTAAAAAAAGACATACTTTCCAAATTTAAATATCAATTGTTTTTGACCTGTCAGACAAGTAAAAAAAAATTGAATTTATTCAATCCATGCAAAATTGACGTTTTCCGAATTTCTCTTTTTACAAAGGCGAGCTTTGGTGCATTGAGGAAAAAATGTTGATTATTTTTTGACATATAATCTTTGAGCAGGTCATACAAAAATAAAAAGTGGCCTTTAAAATAAATAGTCATTTCGCTGAAAAGTTCAAGCTAACTCCTGCAAACATGGCCAAAAATGTAAAAAGTCAATAAACTTGAAGAAACGGAATAAATTCAATGAACTCAAAGGAACGAAAAATTGTCCGAAAATGGCGGTCGTAAAATAGTACCCTAAGGTCCCTTTGGGTGGTCAGGGGGTTGAATCCCTGCGGGAATCGAGTCCCCCTAAATCCGCCCCTGCCGAGAAAAACCGTAGATCTTTTGAACCAAAAAGTGTTTCCTGTTTTTGCTTCCTTTTCAACTTCAATTAAAAAAACTAAACTAACAAAAAAAAGACTTTTCAAAGAATCCAGCAAAATCCTAACTTTAAATCGATTATTTTCACGAAGTTGCAAGTTGCTTCGAATTAAGTACAGAATGAACGAGCAATCGAAACTCAATTACGATATTGACGAAAAGATAACTACGTCACAAAGTCAAAACGGAAAACATTTCGAGATCTCCTTTGAAAATCAATTTCTCTAATGATGAACTTCAAAACTCAAATTAGCTTGTTCCTGTATTGATCACTCCCTTCGACGATCAGTAAAAGTAACCCACTTAAAATTCAGTTCCTGCCTGGAAAGTCTTACTTGTCGCGTTTGCTTTAAATTGACGCTCAACTAGAAAAGAAACAAGACATTTTTTAATTGAGAAGTTGTGACGATAAGCCACACGATCACAGATTATTTGAGAGTTTCTTTCAAAATCAACGAAGTGAATAAATACTCAACGACTTAAGCCCAATTAAGCGTTGAAATCTATTGATCACAATTAGTGACCCAGTCAAAACTCGATTCACTGTTAGAACAAGCAAATTAAAATTCGGTTCACGTGCACCGTATTAAATTACACTGATAAATGAAAAACACTTAAGTTCTGAAAGCATGCTTAATCTAATCTGACTATTTTCAGGACGAAAAAAACAGCGAACTGATTTCAGCAGATAGCTCAAACTCATAAAAATTTCAAAATTTTGCGTGAAAAAATGAACTTGCCACTTATAATGTGTACTTAAATATTCAGCTAAGCTTTCTGGCTGCTAAATAAAAAAAAACTGAACGACGATTTTTCACTTCAAGCAATTTTCTCTTTTCAGAGTATAATTTGAGCCCCGTTTGAAAAAAATAATGTAACGTAAGCATTATTGAAAACTGAGCATGACAAATTTACCGAATTGTCCTGGTATAATGAAACAAACTTCGTAATATATTGGCCGACACTGATTCTTAGAGTCTTTTGGCTGTGGTTTGAGAAAAGCTTTCTGGAGTGGTAATACACCAACCGAAAAAAACTTAACCTAATTCGCTTTTCTAATCCAGAGCAAATGAGGTTCGTATCCCTTACGATAGAGCAATCAAACTTGAAAAAGCTAATACTAGCCAATCAGAATTGAATATTCAAAAATCTGAAAAAAAAAATCGCTAAAAATTAAGAAAACTCAAAACTAAATTTAGAGCCTTCAAATCATAACTGACCGAATACAAAATCAACAGAAAATGCAATCCGGTTGATTCATGATGCAAGTTTGCAAGCAACAAGACGAGAGCGTTTCATGGAAAAGCCAGACAGTTATCGGGCGTAGCGCGCTCACCACTAGACCTCAGGGAGAGTATTTTTAATGCATACTGTCAATTTTGCGTTCAGTTTGCTGCACAAAGCATTAGGCGAATAGGTGTTTGTTACAATTTCTACGCTTTGTTTGAACGTTTTTCATCATTTGATCAAACGATTCTGAGAATAAACGCGCAAACAAGCAGTCAACAAAAGTTTGATTTTGAGCACATGCATAACCCTTATTTCGGTTAAATCAAGCATTTTAAATTAGTATACATGGCTATATTGAAAATGGGGCTCTCTGATATCTTGATTTTTGAGAAATCAAAACTTTAACGCTTTTTAGGAATGATTTTGTGTTACAAACAGTCGAAAAATAAGTAATTTTTGGTGATCTATTGCTAGCAGGAATGTGATATGAGATCCCAAATTAAGCCTCAAATTTGGTGTTCTAATCTAAATTCTTTTAGAAAAACAGTTTTCAGTTTTTGACAAAAATACTAACAAATATCTCAACACATAGGCGACGCAAAAACTAGCGATAGTGCGTTAAAAAAGCAGCTTTATCAACTTAAATTAAAAAAATAGAAATAAGCCTCAAATTAGTAAAACTTTGCTATGTAGGGTCTTTGAACCTCTGAGTTCAAGTGACGACTCACGCCCTGCCCTCTCGGCCACGAACGCTTAGCAATTGGCAAACACTGAAGTTGAAAAGTGTAAATAAAAAGTGTTAACTTAATTTAGAACAACTGGATCAATCTTGAATGTTTTGTGCCGCTGGGAAATCTTAAAATTATAATCCACTTTCAAAACTAGAATTCGATCAGGTTTTTTCTCAGAATTCCCGCTGTTTAAGCATTTATGCAAGTGATACACCCAAAATAAGCTCTTCTGATTAAATTTTCAATCTCAAACTTGTCATAGTAGCTTCCGAGAAAAAAAATCAAATAAAAATTCCGTCACAAATTCCCTCCCATAGAAAATTTCTAAGTTCGTAGGACGCCCAGTGAAGAACAGAAGAGTCAACTCGACTATCTAAGCACTGGAGGGAGTAGCCAGTCTATCTATTGACAATTTATTGAAAATCAGTAAACTAAATCTCAAAAAAACTGTAACTTTTGCGGAAAGTACAAAAATGTCCATAAGTTTCTCAAGCTTACAATTTCATATGGTCTGTTTTTTTTTGTATCAAACAGAAGCAAATCATCAAAGAGCCAGAAACAAAACTATAATGCTATCGAACGAACGTTAACCAGAAACAAAAAAAAGTACTTTTAATTGCGACTTAGCTTGGAAAAAAATTTGGTTTAACCAAAAAAATTGAATTAAATTATTTATAATCAGATTTGGTAAATTTACTAGCTACCGAACAACTTTCATTTATAAAAAAGTTTGAATAAAAAAAACCAAGCAATGGAAAACAATTCGTTGAGAAGCGTAACACAATACAAAACGCATTTGGGGGAAAAAACGAGCCGACAGAATCTAGCCGACAGAATCTAGGACAAAAACCACAAACCCAAAAAACTCAAAATTTTTTCAATTAAAATATTTGAAAAATTAATTAAATCCTAAAATGATCTGAAAGGTAGTTTTATTTTAATTTGAGCGTTTTAGCTTGTATGATGTAGTAAAAATTCGGCTATGTCTCGGATTCGATCTGCCAGCTAGAGTTTATGAGTCTCACGCACTAAACACTCAGCCACGGATTCTTACTAACTCACAAATACTAGCCGCAATAAAGCAGATAACAGATGCTATTAAATTTCCAATGCTACAGATCGTGATTACAGCAAAAGTGCCACCAAATAAGTGAACACTTTTATTTGCGAGTTAGGTTAGAAAAAAAGAAGGTTCGGTTTAATGCACTAACGCTCACAAGCTGGCTAGTGTAAACATCCAAAAAACTATCGAAAAAATGATAGAAGGAAAATTATAATTGCGATTCAAAGACGGTTCCCTAATATCTTTCGTAAGATTTGAAAATTTTCTGAAGTAACATTAAACCTAGCCCCACAGACATTTGGAAAATGTCAATAAACTCGATTCTCAAAACTAAATCTATGTTCGAAACCAGAATTTTTTGATTTTTAAGCATTTGATTTGAAATAACCAACACGCATAAATAAGAGTCTCCACCACGCTCATTAACACTTAACCAGAAAATCTCACTTTTGATTGATGAACTGTGTCTGCTGTTTTTATTGTGACCCTGCTGTTGTAACCTTGAGTTGATTTTGAGGGATGATGATGATGATGATGAGCCTCCTGTTCCGTTGTTCAAGTCTGATGAAGTCACATTGTCAGTGGTCACAAAAGAAGATGAAGTAGAAGAAGCCGCTGCACCAAGTTGCGCGTACCTTAAAACATATTGACCCTGAAAACGTTCCCGTTGCATGCTTGAAACCAGGAATCTATTGGACACTCTCAACCCTTAACCCCAAAATGAAACCTGTTCTAGTATCTCGAAAGAAAAACAAATATTCGAATAAATCCATTTCTTTTCACCAAATGCAACTCTATGCGTGCGAAAATTGCTTACATTCTTTTGCAATGTAAACTTACTGCATTCTTACTGGTTGTTAAACCTTTTGAAAAAAAGGGTCGTTCAGGAGCCCCGAAGCCAAATCTCAAATCCTAGAAGGACCAACGCCACCAGATGTAGCACTACCCGTCATCAAAGAGTACTTCTTTCTTTTTTCTCAGCTCATTGTTTCAGATTTATTCGCCATAATGGAGCCGTTTCGCATTCCATAAATTTTTGATTTTATTAGAAAGTTTGCAAAGTTCGCTTGTTTTGAAGATAAATGCTTACGATGAACCGAGTTTACCATCCCTTTGTAAACTTACAATATGATTACATAGACTGAGCTAGAGCGAATGATCAGAGCTAACATCAATGAATTTATGACAATTTGGTTTCAAAGACTGACCATTTTATTCCGGGTATGAAACTGCCAGTTTTTTCCCTATCTGCGTAGAGTAATTTAATCCGCATAAAATGCAATGAACTTCCTAGTTTAGATAAAGTTTGACGCTGAACAATTCAATTTTTTGAGCATGTCATAAAAACATTTTTTCCTTCGCATATTCAAGGAAATTATCTTTTCGATGCAAAATTTAGTGCAGAAAGCGAGCTGGCATTTTCAAACAGAATAAATTAAGTCGCCGAAATCAACTTTTAGTAATTTCCTTAATGGTAATTCTGATAATTTGATCTCAGTCTTTGTTAGTATTTAGTTCAAAATCGAAGTAAAAGTTGTGCAAATTAATTTAGTCGACAACATGCTCTCAAGAGAACAAAACCCTTTTTGCGCTCAATTTTGTCCACTAGTGCATCTCTAATTTCTGAAAAAATCTTAAAAGGAGTAAAAATTAGCCTGAGTTGTATTGCTAACAAAACATCGACCAGGAGCACTTGGGCAGCGTTGGTGAAGTGGTTATGTCTCCGCCTCTCAAACGACAGGTCGGATGTTCGAGGCCCACCATGATCCGTGCTCGATGTTTAAGGGCGAGGCAACATTACCAGAAGAAAAACCAAAATAAATGCATGTAGTTCTTAAGCATGGAACAACAGGGGCTTCCCGTGGTGAGCTGTACAGCTCTTATGTTGGTCCTTTTCTTCTTAAATAAATGATCATAATAATTTCATTTATTTTTATGACTGATTAGTTGTTTGTAACGAATCTTTGGCTTATGTTCGTTGAGCAGAGCATCTGTGAAGTAGGCAAAGGTCCATACTTCGATACATACCATTACCGATGTTTGTTATCCAATGAGTGATGCAACCATTGCCGTCCCAGAAAAAAAAAACAAAAAATGCATTTAAATCTTAATAAAGGGGGCATAAGAGCGGTTATCCTGGAATAGCTTAAAAAAGTAAGCTCATTTGTTCATCCTTTCCTTCGGGAATAAATTGTCTTAATTTAGGCTCACTTGGACAGTGCCTCCTCCTCGGCCAATTGGCGGGATACTTTGGCCTCCAGGATCTGAGTGATGCCTGCATTGTCCGCCTCCAGCTCCCACTTGAATTTGTTCAGATCCTAGAGCAAAAAAAAACAATTATTCACAACACACACGCTGTCAATACTTTAACCAAAATATGCCCTCAAAAAGTATATTTTAAACCTAAATTGTAACTACAAACAGGTCGAAAAAAGCCAATAGGGAGGCTAAAAGTCTGTTATTTAAAACTTAGGTTGATCAATTGAATTGGTTTCTCCATCTTTTTCACTAATCAATCAAATATAAGAAATCTGTGAAAACTCATTTTTATCCATTGCTTCGCAAGTGTAAGAAGCAACAAATAGTTGAAGTGAATGAACCTGGTCGAGTCTTCTGGAGTATCTCTCGACTAGATGGAACAGCTGTCCCACCACACTCACTTTCTCCCCCGCATCCACTAGAGCCCCCCTGTAGCCTCGCTCCACTTCCTCCAACACCCTCTTCTTCTCCTCAATGTCCACCTCCTGCTGCTGCTGTTGTTTGTTCACACCTCCGCCCGCTTGGGACGACTAGAAACAAATGTAAACTTAATTAATTTCAGTCAAACATTGTTCAAATTGTGGCGCAATGTGAGCTCTTGTAAGATAACCATAGCTTAGTTAACCTTAAACAGTTAACCTTCATTTTAGGGTTCTGGTTAACTAAATCATTAACTAAAAATTAACTAAAATTTCTGGTTAACTATAAAACTAAAACATTGTAGTTAAAGAAACATATTTTACACCAATCCGAGCTCACCACTCTCATCATGATCCCCAATGCACTGTACTCTGCACTACTTAATTGTCGGGACCACCCCCCTCCCCCCACATACACACACACACACATACACACACAGCAAAACATACACACACAGCAAAACATACACACACAGCAACACATAGACTTTATCATAGACCTCACCCCTAGAATATTAATTACTACAAAATGACCCCATCGAAATTTTTACTATAAAAATTATACCCAAAATTATAAAACAAATTTCGCATTTTATACGCAAAAAAAACTAGTTTGCATTAAATTAGTAAAACTTTCCCCCCAGCAATTAAAACCGGCCGACCTTAGTTCCACTGCCACCACTAGTTGTGCCTCCCCCTCCCCCTGTGCCTCCACTGATGGACTGCATCTTCTTCTGCAGCAGCTCCACCTGATTCTGCACTGAGAGGTCCAACTCCCTCACAGTTGTGCACTTGTCCCTCACCTCATTCGGGAGAGTCTCGATCAGCTCCAGGAAGTCCTCCAGATACAACATCTCTCTTCTCTCTCCTTATATCATGCTCACTTACAACTGAAAGAGAAGCGCACGGGTTTAACTGTAGCCCAGCTAGTAGTGCAATTCGAAAATTCGAGATTCTTCTGAGATTTTGAATTGATGCTTAAATGATGTTAGAATTTATTTCTAGGAGATAGTGCCACTAGAAACCGTATAGGAATCATAAATCTTATAAGAAAGAATTCGATATTTAGAAAAATTTTACATCATGTAAGCACCAGTTCAAAATCTCAAGAGTCTTAGAAGATTCTTACAAAATTTTGAATTTCGCTTTGGAATTTAAAGTCATTATAATATCTTTAACAAATCTGACCCAGCTCAAAATTCTTTAAAAAACAGCAGTGCTGTGGGCAGAGCTGTGGCGCATCCGGTTGTTGCAGCGCCCAGCAATCATACGTTTGTGAGTTCAAATCGCATGTGTTCTGCATTTTGCAAAATGAGTGCTTGCAAGATCAAAGCTCAATGAGCTCATCATGATAAGGTCAGCTCTAACTCAACCTCAAATAAATAATCTATCTCTCCTCTCAAGCACACTCACCACCGAAGAAGAAACGGAATAAAAAAAATTAAAAAAAAAAAGAAAAAAAGGAGTAAACTGTACTAGCCCGCCAGTATTTTGTTATAGAAAAATGACTTTCCATCTTATAATAATCTTTCAATTCAGGTTTTTTCCAAAGCTTGAACTGATTTTGATTTTGCTAAGATAAAAAACAAGCATTTGGACACAAGCCAAGGTGCAATACGCAACAAAGGCACAAAAACGACAATTTTAGCTCAATAAATTTGAAAAAAAGAAATAGCCAAAAAAAACTTGTTTTAGGCACAAAAAATTTACAGAATTAACCGTTAAATTAGTGCTTTAATAGGAACAAAACCGAGCCGTTCAATCATTGAGTACCTTCTTAGAGATTCTACTGAGTGAATAAGAACTTAAAAATTATCTGTGCTTGCCAAAATATCAGTTCTAATATGATAATTAGAGTCAGGAATTAAAAGAGAGAAGCTTTCAAGTAATTCTAAATACCAAACATCCGATATCGTAAGACAGATAGAGATAGAACCAATTTAAGAGTAGAAAAAAAAGATGTTATTTCATGGCAAAACCTAAGAAATGAATTAATAAAGAATGAAATAACATAAAATTTCTTGCTAGGTTATTTTTAAGGAATTTCAAGAGTATCGCGTAAAAAACCAAAAATGATTTTGCAAATTAATATACCAAATGCTCTGAAACAACTCCTAAATGGAAGTGTTTATACAAGTCCAATAACCACTTCCTACGCCGTAGAACGTCTAATTGTCTCTTTAAGTTGCTAATTAGCGCTAGAGCTTACCCGCACTGACAAAATGGATTAAGATCGATTTTACCTGAAGTATGTAGACTAAATAAAAAAAAGGATTAAGATTGATTTGGATCAATTCAAAATCGATTTAAATTGATATGAAGTCCAAGCTAAAAAAAATTGATCCAAATCGACCCAAATTCAGTTTTTGTTTTTAGGGGGATTGAAACGGATTTATATCATTTTTTTCGAATTAATTTATCGCATTACTTTTGAGTTTTTGTTGCATTTATTCAATGCCAATCATTTTTAATTTTACATCCATAGCGTCTGGTACTATATTTAAAAAAATCAAATTTCAATCCAGTTTAGAATTATTTAAGTTGCCATCTGATTTATATAGACTATTTTTTGATTTGTTACATAGATTTTTTGCTTAAATTGATTTCAGATACTAAAATCGATCAGTCTTTTAAAATGGATTTAAATGATTTTTGGCAAGATTCCGATGGAATTAAGATTTGATTCCTAAAATGTACAATGTTAATCAATTTGGATCGATTTAAAACCATTTTAATCAATCCGAAACCATTTTTGTCAGTGCGGGTAGCTGATTAAACCAATAATACCAATTAAAACCCTGATTACAAACATTTTCCAACTTAAAAATCATTACTAGCACGTCCTTCAACTCGTTAAATTAACTTCATCAAATGATACAAAAAATGCTGCCAGCTAAATGTTACAAAAAACCTGACTTATAGTATGAATTCAAAAATGTTACTGAAAAGGTGTTGATTTTTTGTCCATCAAAACATGAATGATCAAAACTGCAGAAATGCCGTTGATAGTTTGTATAACAGTTGGATGCGTGTGTACCATTTTGTATCAATAATATCTGCTTTTACCCAACTGTCTTTCTTATGTCAATTTTTCACTTCAAAAACAAAGAACCAGCATTGCAAAACCGTTTTCTTGTTTAAAAAAAATAACATAAATCGAAAACTCCGTCTTCTTTATCAAAACATTCCTTTTAATCATGAATCTGTCATTAATTTGCACAAATAAAACAAAGATGTAACAATGTTTATCAGGTACAACCCAGACAAAGGTCTTTATGGAAATAAGTTGAATTCAGTTTAGATTCACTATTTCAAGGTATTTCTGCATATACTAGCCGATATACGGGATTTTCTCAGGGTGCCGATTTGTAAAAAAATATGAACGTTTTGACGTTTTTATTAGTTTGACCAAATTGATTTTCCCAGCTCATCGGAACACAAAAACCCTAATATAGTAAAATCCGTTATACCCCTCAAAAGTAGTACAGATTGGCGACAAAAAGAAAAACTTCAACCCTCAAAACTTGGACAGATTGGCGCCGGACCGAAAAGAAATTACCCTCAAAATTAGTGCAGATTGGCGATGAATAGAAAAGTTTTAGCCCCACAATTACTACAGATTGCTGCCGAATAAAATATTTAACCGCCAAAGAATAATACGGATTGACGCCGAATAGAAAAACTGCGCCAGATAAACATAAGTTCCCTCAAAATTAGTAAAGCTTGGCGTTGAATAAAAATGTCTTGACCCCACAAATAGTAATGATTGTTGCCGAATAAAAAATTTAACCGTCAAAAAAATACAGATTGACGCCGATTAGAAAAATTGTTAAACCTCCAAATTAAAACAGATTGGCCCCGGAAAAAAATTTACCCTCAAAATAAGTACAGATAGGCGATGCATAGAAAAGTTTTAACCACACAAATAATACACAATGTTGCCGAATAAACAACTTTAACGTCAAAAAAATAGTACAGCTTGACACCGAAAAGAAAAATTTTACTCTCTCAAAATTAGCATAGATTGGAGCCGAATACTAAAATTTTACACCCTCAAAATAAAAATAGATTGACGCCCAAGAGAAACTTCAACCCTCAAAACTAGTCGTAAGAGGACAACTCACAAAAATATAACTCGCAATAAAAGACATCTCGCAATAAAAGACAAATCGAAATCTACTCACCGCTGCAGTCGCGCCAAAGAGTTGCGAGCTTGCCAACAGAGATACTATTTTATCCAAAATTTCGAACCCTTTATCGCTGCGTAGAGGTGATAGGCGCCCAATTGCGAACTTTAACCAAAATTTTAAAATTTCCATTTATATTTAAAACCTTGCGAGCTTTCGTTTATTTAAATATGAGAGTTGTCTTTAGTTTGAAACAAAGACAACTCGCAAATTTAAAAAACGGAAGCTCGCAAGGTTTTAAAAATAATTGGAAACTTTAAAATTCCGGTTTCATGTCGCAGTTGGGTGCCTGTCCCCGCAAAAAGGATTCGAAACTGTTTCGTTGTTTGTTTCGAGTAAACGTCGCTTGCTTCGAGTTGTTGCGGTCGCAAAACTATTATATATTGGCGCCAAATAAAAAATTAAATTGGTCGGACGAAAATGGATGTAGTAGATTAGAACCTCCCCCACTTACCCCTAAATCCACCCTAGTTTCAATTTGCGATCTGCCCAAGTTTCAATTTTTTTCAGATTCAATGTGAAGCATGGATAGCCATTTGCTGTGCAAGTAGCACAGAACGCCCAACCATGATAAAAAAATTTTTTTTTTCAAATTGTGTCATCTTTTAACTATGGTATGATGACAGGATCTGACCGAAAGCCTATGAATTGCGCATACTCTATGTAATTATTAAATTAGGTATATGCGACATCACCTTCCCTCAAAAAATGGACAGAAAATTCAAAATGAAAAATAATTCAATTTTGCAGGACAATTTCAATTTTTTTTCCAATTTTTTTCGGCTATATTTGCTAGTTTAATACTGAATTTTTAAGCTTAACTTGAATAAAAAGAATTAGACTATTAAAAGTCTTTTATAAGACTTCGCTCGCTTTACTCGCTCGAAATAAGATTTAAACTCGAAAATTTCGAGCCGATTTTTCTCGACCCCGGAAACACATTTTGGAAGTTTAAATGTCGTCCGCATCAAGACTGAAAGTGATATGACATATTACTCGACTCATTCCGATAATTATTTATGGTACTGACTCTTGCATTGAAAAAAAATCTAAAACATACCGAAGACAAAGTTTCTCTCCGTTTTCAAAGGTCGAAAAAAATGAAAAAAACCAGCGTTTTAAGCAATGTCTCTGTAACAATTACAGATTTTTCGGCTATATTTTAGCTAAGACACGATCCACGACATTTGATTTAGTTATTTAAAATAAAAAACAATCAGTAAAATTTGACTGTTTTAAAAGAGAGCGCGAGAGAGGCAGCGAGAGAGAAAAACTTTGTTGCTTCACCGTTTGCAAATATAAAACTGTTTTTGAATGGAACAAGTTCAGTATTACTACATATGAGAACAAACAAAAAAAACGTTAAACCAGTTATTTAATATACTAAGACTCTCCTTATTAAGTATTGGAAGCAGTTGAGTATCGGATAAAAGACGTTAGCAGATTCTTTCCTCTATTATGCATAAAAATCTATGCTTTAGTGTTCCGACTTTCGAAGAAAGCTGAATATTTATGCTCGGTGTGGTTTTTTTTATTCAGTTAATTTTCACCGATCGAAAAAATTTTCGACAAAATTTTTTTATACCCCATTGGAGATATCGACTTCCTGAGTTCAAATATAAAAAGATATTTTACCTCCGATTATTTTTTGTAAAATTCTGGGGGTTTGAAAATTGCCAAATTTGCCGTGTTCTGGACTAAATTTTATGCTCTTTAAAGAATTTATTCATACTGCTGAGAGCGTAACGCGAACTATTTATCCGTGTCGAATTATCCCGCATAACAAAATCGTTCCAAATTGAATTGCTTTGTAATCTATTCTGATAGATGTGACCTTGAGTAAACTGATTTGACCGTTCGATTTTGAGTAAAAAAATAGTGCTTGTGAACCCGCTCTGAATTTAATTATTTGTTTCAAATAATTCTGTTTTACCCATTGCTCTTTTCTCTCTTAGTGTTTAGTTTAAATGCTTCAATTTGTAGAGGGAAGAAACAGATTTTGAAGATTTGATCCAACTTGTTTAAATTAGTATTGCAAATTGCAACCCAATGAGAATGCGAATCAAAATTGCTTTTCCACAGTTGCATGTCTCCAATTAGCCAATAAACCGCCTATCATAACTCATCGTGATCTAGTTATTATGCTTGTGCTCTACTTGATTGGACTCAAGTTGAAAAAACTAACTCAATTTAAACAAGGTTAGAATTGAAGAACCAAATGTTAACTCGCTAGTTCGTTATCATTTGAAATTATAAATCAAAACAACTCAACAAAAACTAACACCACGCAGTGGCAGAACTAAACAATTAAAAATTTTCAAATTCACATCAATCAATTTAAAATTTAAGTTACATCAAATTCTAATTAGCATTTTTTTCAGTGTTTTTCAATTAGAATACCTGAAGTTGAAGAACTATTCCAGTATTTGCAGTAACTCCGCTTACAGTGTTAAACGTGTTTATCACGTCATAGATTTATAAAGCTCTTTCTTCTGTTTAAATTTGTATTTGTAACTTTCAAACCTTTTTGACATATATATTATTCAATTCATCTTATAGCTATAAATTTTAACCATGGATTGGTGATATTAGTTAATTAGATAGCACCATCCAAAAAGAGACGAGACAAGAAAAGAAAATAATAGAATAATCAATGAGACCTATTCAGTCGTTGTGTTCGTCATCAGACCGAGTATCAGCAAGTTCCCTTCCTGATGTGAACCTACACAAAACAAGCAATAGATCAAAACAACAGGTCCTTAAAAATCACTTTATTCATTGACAATTAAAAAAACAGGAATATGATAGTCTAGTGCCAAAAAACCAGAGTAGCAATAGAAGCAAAAAAAATAGCGACAAAAATATCAAATTTAAAGATTTAAAAAATCCTGATCATACTGATTTGTGGCCATTACCTGACGATGGCCTGTAGGAGGAAGTATGCCCATACACAGTTGAGGGCCATGAGTATGGCTATGAGAAGGTTGCAGAAGTAGAAGAGACGCATGAAGTGTCCATCTGTGAGGTCAAGAGTTGGGAGCAGTACCACCGGCACCTCGTAGATCACACTCCTCCACACGTAGAACGGGATCAGATACAGTCTACACAGCCGCAACATAACATTACCGGAACAATTAAAAGAAAAGAATCAGATATAAAATAACAGTGTCGTTTGTTTTTAAATATTGAAATTAACATTAAGGAGGCACTTAGCACAGTGGTAAGGCGTTCACTCTGAAATCGTCAGATCGTGTATTCGATCCCATGCCATGGCAATGATAGTGTGTGAGGACAAGCTCTCACTTGACCTCTAGCTTCAGGTCTACCACAACCTGACCATATTTGGCTGCAATAGTTGTACCCCGTAAAAAGTTCTAGACGCACAAAAACGGCCTTGAGTCGCAAAAAACAGCTTCGCTCAACAAAAATAACACTGTCTGGAATGTGGGGAGATAATAGAAATGGACTATCCTCGACAGGACTGTTAAGGCCTACTGATAGCTCCTCTGCGAGTTGCAGGAACTACAATTATTATAATTATTAACATGGGGAAAGAGTAATAAAAAACACAATATCATTGAAAATTAAGTTGCACGCAATCATGTACAGTTTACACAGTCAAAATTACGATACAATTACACTGCGGCCAAACTGCACTTCTCAAACACAAGCAACAAGCGACAAACGTTCAGAAATTGCTTTAAAAACTGAAAAAGAAAAAAAAAACAAGGCAAAAAAATGTTTGATGAATTTTTGTAAATAAATGCTTAGAGCAGAAGAATGAGTGCAATGTACAACATACCTTGTGTAGAAATACGTGATGGTCAGCAGAAAAAACATGAGATAAGAAAACTTCTGCAACTTCAAGTACTTTCCGATTTTGGCCAACTCCAAGAACGGATCCATCAAATCGTGAAACAACATCATCAACATACCAACTCGAAATAAATTATTATGATAGCTTGTAACTATAAGAAGAATAGTGACCACATGATGCAATAACATTATAATAAAGTCTTTTCGTTTCACTGCTACACAATGTGTTAACACTTCCGAGAAATAATAGCCTAATTCGATCATGTAATACCAATAATAAACGGGGGTCATTTTATGGCTTAAGGCATCGATCCATAATTGCTGAGAATCGTATAAGAATTCGGAAGGCAGTAAAGCAATCAAACCATATAACACAATCCAAGCGTGAATAAATAATTTCCAACAGCCTTCTCGATACTTGTGTTCGGTTTTGGGATTTCGTAGAATTTCCGACCCTGGTCGGGCGAAATGTTTTATTGCCAAATCTGCTATTGAGGTTTCGATGATTTTTCGCACCACGATAAATAAGCCACTGAAAACTAAACTGGCGCCAATTTCATTAATTGTAAAACTTGGCATTATAATGAGTTAGCTAACTATCTAATATTAGATAATAAATTAGAAAAAGTTAGACCGCAAAGAAAACAAAATTAAGAAAACCGATTGAAATTTTCTTAAAAACAGCTAGTTTTTACTAGTTTTAAAATAAATTTATGTTGCAAAATGAAGACACAATCATATGGGAACAATAAAAAATTGGTTGAGCTTTGAAGAAGTTTTGAAAATAACAACAATTGAAACAAGTCAGAATAACTTAAATGTTATTATGAAATTAATTCAGCTTTAAATCATTGCGGTTTGCGTCTAATAGCGACATCACCTTGTAAATATACTGATATTGGCAGTAAGTCTATTTTTCACGATGGTATAAAATTGAAGCTATGATGTTATTCTGGGATTTTTCCCCAGGAAAACGGAGTTCGAAATACTTGATAAAAGTAAATCGGGAAGATATCATTAAATATGACTTCGTTGCTAATAAAATAGAAAAAGCAATTATTTTGCTGTATTCGTCAAATGAAAGAACAAGTTTTAAAAGTTGAAAGAAATAAAACAGAAGAAACAAATCAAAGTGAAAAAAAAACGAATAAAGCCAAAAGGTCTAATAAAAATCAGTCGACGTCAAGAAAGTAAATAAAACAAACAATCATCGTCTAACTACATGAAATCGAAAATGAAGAACTTAAAGATAATTTTTTTTTCGGATAGACATGAGTTTGACCGATGGTTGAGACAACCTCTGTAAGGCACAATTACTGCACAATTGATGACAAATGGTACGATTCTCTTATCTAATCGTTGAAATGAAAACCATCACCATTTTTGTAAATCCTCCACCAAGGGACACAAAACCATTTTGACCTGAAAATAATAACCACTTATTTTTCACAATTGTTACAAAAACTGCAACAAAATACTCACATAGTAACATTCTGTAAGATTTACAGGTTAAAGCGTTAGATGTTGCAAAAGCAGAGGGGGACAGGCGAAGCGATCCTTCTGGGAATTGGAGCAGGCGACAAAAAGCGATATCTTCAACATGTTCTTAAACGGCGCATTTTGTGGTTCTTCTCAAAAACTTTCAACTTGTGCAGAAGTATTCATAAACAGCGCAATTAAACGTTATTAAAATCTCGGAAAAAAACATAGTCAAATGGCAGTTGGAAAAGAGTAATGAATGCAAGAAAACAAAATATAATACCTCGTTTTTTTTTGAAAATTGGAAATTTTCGATATATAAATTCCACTTTCAAAACTAGAAGTCGATCACGTTTTTCGTGAATTTTACACTTTTGCTGTTCGATGTTGAAGTTTGCCTGCCTTTTAACAAAGGAAACGAAGTAAACTTAAAATGATATCAGAAGTCAAACCACGAAAAATTAAAATTAAGCTTGAACGCATTCTAAGATTTTTCTTGAAAAAACTCAAAACATATCACCTAGACCTATATAAAAGTACTCACTACGTTCATAACTCTAAATTCAGCCGGCTTTCCAAAATGACAATGAACATCGCATTTTGAGTTTAAAAAGCCTTCCTATCAAAAGTTTATGATGATAATTCTCTTAACTAACTTCCCAAAAGCAAACACTAAATGAGTGTTTAATCAATGGAACTTGTCCAATTTCGACAGATTTGGATAAAACAACACAGAGTGTTATTTTCTTCGTACTGTAATTGAAGCACAAAATAACTAATATCGACCAATTTCACTCAACGCCAAAAGACAATATTTGGTCTTCCAATAGCCCACCTCATGGACCAACTCTCATCACAAAACTACGCTAGTTGCAAACAGATGAAACCCTCGATGAAAATTTTTGACGCTGCCCTCTTGACTCATGTGATATACGTCAAAAGTTACATCGACTAGGGAGCCAAAATACAAAGCACTCCACACACAAGCGGTTTTCAAATTTTTTGAATCTGTGCCTATACCATAAATACTAAATGAAACCCCCCCCATCTTCCAAACGGAACTCTCACTATATCGAAAGACACATTCCAGCCTAGCTGAATGACGCTTTGACTACTCCCCTGCACTCCCCTTCTCCTTCGAGCAGTCATATTTGGAGGCAAGATTCAAAACCCTTGAGTGTACTCTGACAGCACCCAATTGCAGGGTTGGGATTTCAAATTTTGTGAAATATGCTATTTGGGTTTTCTGGAAAATTTTGAAAAACCACATAAATCCTCGTATCACTAAAAAAAATTCGCCATGAGACCAAACTGTGCACTGAATAAGCGCACAAATTTATCGCTGCCTATAATTTCTGTAAGAATTTGCAGCCTTTCCAACCAATGCATTGAGAGTGGTTATTTTCCTCAAGGCTTAAAAGTTGCAAAAGTTATGCCCCTTTAAATTGTAGAACTATTAGTTTACTGAGTTCACTCAGCAAAATTTTCGAAAGGATAATTTTCAATAGAATGTATAACTTTGCTGACAAACAGAAGATTCTTTATGAAAAACAATTTGAACTTCAAAAGAAAAAGTCATGCGTGGACGCATTAATCAAATTCACGAATTTATAAGAGAGGGATGGGACAGTAAATTAGTTGGTCAATCATGCCTTGTTGATCTCAAAAAAGCATTTTATACCATAAATCATGATCTTCTTTGGCCAAATTGGAAAAATACGGCTTTAGAGGCCGCATTCATTGTCTTCTGAAAAATTACTTTACAAACCTGTTTCAATTTGTTCAAACTGATAAATAAATATCTTCAAGTCGCTCTATGTCATGTGGAGTACCGCAAGGGTCAATTTTAGGTCCGTTTTTGTTTTTGATATATATAAATGACCTTCCGAAAATTGCTGAAGAATCTGAGATTGTTCTATTTGTCGATGATACTACAATATACAATGCAGATACTACAATATACAGAGATAGCTTCGATAGCTCGTTAAATAAAGTGGATAGATGGTTCAAAACGAATGGACTTTGTGTCAATCCTGGTAAAACTCAAATAATGAAATTTGGTAGTAACTTTTCAAAAGACTACTTTGCTATTGGTACTTCAGTTCAAATTACAAATGTAAGAAAACATTTAGGCATTTTTGTTGATAAGAAACTTACTTTCAAATTTCTTATTGAACATGTGTGCAAAAAACTAACTAAATTTTGTGGCATTGTCTGGAAAGCTAGGTATGTTTTTTCTAAACAGCAGATGATTCGCTTCTACAAAGCATATGTAAATCCTACAATCACTTATGGAATTTTAATATACGGCAATACATCCCAATCTCACCTTACCGAGATAATGAAACTACAAAAAAAAGAATCCTGAGAGCAATTTTCTTCAAACGTAGATATGAATCAATTAAGGAAATTATGGACGGAAACAGATTGCTGACTGTTTTTGATTTATACTTTTTTTTGAGATGGTTAAACACTTGTTTATGGAATTGCGATCGGGCAAAAAAAATGGTTTTCTGTCTCAAACTTACTCCGAAAAAAAGTGGACCATGTACCAGGAGCAAAGCGAAAGGCGTAATTAAAGTGACAAAATTTTCTACTACCGCTAAACAGAGATCGCTTACAGTTAGAATTGTGCAGGCTTTTAACTATTTAAAACAAAATGACTTGATACCTGTTAATATACATTAAATGTCACAAGTTAGCTGTTTGAGATTCTATAAACAGTTTTTTCAAATTTACCTAAACGACAATCAGGACCTCTACAAACTGTTTTTTTAACTTCAGCCCTTAAATTAACTTGTTTGTTGAGTTGATGCTGACTGTCTTCTCTTTACTCTCCAGGATATCCTACTCGATGAGCAGTACTGCTCTTTAGGATCGCCCTCCAGGCATAATATATTGCTTTTGGCGTTGTATATGTAGCTGGTAAAGTAATTCAAATTTCAACATGTTTAATGTTTGTGAGAAAGATCAACGAAAATGAAATAACAAAAGAAGAAAAAAGGGAGCGTCCTTGTTGCGGAATCTGCCAATAATTCACAAAATACACAGTTTGGCCTCGTAATGTTGGGCATTCATAATTGGAGGTCAAATTCGCAACCCCTGGGGGAAACCCTGACAACATTCCACTTTTAGGCTCCTTATTTTAAACTCGGTAAAATAAAGACTGAAATCAACTGGAAAATCGAAAAAATTTTAATTATTGCAATATAGGATATAACTTAAACATGCAGAAACAAATGAAAAATTTTAAGCGTGGCGAGATAGTGAAGCCCGCATTTAAATATATAATGGATATATAAGCAAAATGTCTACGGCTGATTTATCCACCTAATTTTGAGTACGTTTTAACTTCAAACTGAAGAGTCGATAGAGTCATTCTCATATCTATCAAAATAATAACGAAGTAGTTAAGTAGTTTTTCAAATTACTAACAGATCATGCTCAAAAAAACTTATCAATTCGGTTGATTTAAAGCAATTTCGAAATCTATATGTTTGCAAAAATCAATTGTCTTCAGAAAAAACCAGAAAAAACCAAAATTTGATTCTCCCCTCTACAAATCGAAGCATTGAAACTAAAAACTAAAAGAGAAAAGAGCAATGGGTTCAATTACAACTGGGTAATACAGAATTATTTGAAACAAATAATTAGACTCAAATCGGGTTCACAAGCATTATTCTTTGACTCGAAATCGAACGGTCAAATCAGTTTACTCAAGGTCACATCTATCAGAATAGATTACAAAGCAAATAGCAAAGCAATAACAAAAAATCCGAAAACCGAATTAGAAAAAATTAGAAAACAGCGCAAAACTTAACATAATAACAAAAATATGCAAACATGAATTAAAAACCGCAAAAAAAAAGATTGCCTTAGCTCGCTTTTCAGATACCTTTGCGAAAAAAATACACGTCAATTTTCTAGATGAAAATAGTTCGTGCCCGAAGACGAAGATAATAAGTTTTCACCATTTCATCAGAAAATCAATATACTGTTTCCGGTATGTTTTTTTTTGTAGACTAAAAGAATGTAAATGAGATAAATTATTCAGAACTTGTAAAATCTGACAAATTTAAAAGGTCAAAATTCGAACTGGATAAGAAATAACCCAACCATGAATCTTCATTGGATCTCCACTTCAAAGCTTACATCTGTTCCAAGGTTAAAACTGACCTGATAATACAACTAATACAAACATTGGATTTGTCCGAAAATAGAAGCTTAAAGCGATATAGCTCTTTGAAATCAAAATAAGAGCAGCCGGTCACAGTGAAATTTGCACAGAATGTTCCGACCACAGCTTTCATTGCGAATTTGCAAAATTCACTGCTGATTGGATCTAGCATTTTATATTGGCTCAATATCTTTTCGGTGGCGCACAGACAATTCGGCCAAAGACAATTCAGCCAATTTGACAATTCAGCCAGAAATATACAGACAATTCGGCCAAAGACAATTCAGCCAATTTTACAAAACGCTAGATTCGAAAGAAAACAAGACTGCTCATATCAGGGCGAAGCCCTGAATGTTCCGACTGCCTTTTAAGGTTTATGGAGGAGCAGTAATAACATAAAAAAATTAATTGAAATAAAATAAAATGAACTTTTTTTCTAAAATTTGAAATTTTTTAGGAAAATCATCCCCCCCCCCCACGCCATATAAAGTACAAAAAGATAGATTTCGTTCCTTGTAACAAATCAATTATGGCAAATAAGCTTCGTTCAACCAATTTGGAACGATTTATAAGACGGATTAAATCTCCGCTTACGCGTTAATAGCGCGAATTATATCGCGCGTTAATGGTCCCAAATTGGTCAAAATGGCCAAAATGGCAATCTTTAAACCCTCATAACTTAACGAAAAACAATCACAGGTGAAATATTTTTTCAAATTTAAGCTCAGATCAACAATACCTTTTGAATGATATAAAAAAATTCCGTCAAAAATGGCTAGTTAAAAAGTCGAAATTTGTCTGAAGAAAAAAAAACCCACCCCGAGCACAAATATTCCGTTACTTTCGTATCGAAAGTCGGAACAACAAGACTGCTCGTATCAGGGCGAAGCCCTGAATGTTCCGACTGCCTATTAAGGTTTATGGAGCAGTAATAACATTTAAAAATTAAAAGTAATAAAACAAAATGAAATGTCTGAATTTCAAATTGGCTGAATTGTCTTTGGCCGAATTGTCTGGACGCGCTTTTCGGTAGCTGAATATCTGAAAAACTATCCAGAGACTGTTACTTAAAATGTTTCCAGCAAAAGATCACGTTTTTGGCGCACCCTCACAAATCGAAGTTAGTTTATGCTATAAAAAGTTGGTTAATGCTATAAAAACTTAAGTTAGTTTATGCTATAAAAAATTAAGCTAACCGAAATGAGCGTCGTTTAAATATAAAAAGGAGACTTTGAATGGAGGTTAAGCTGTCAGATTCCTGGTTAGAAGAGGCGTCCCCTGCATCCTCTTAATTCACCCTTGCTTTTAGTCGAATCGTCTTACACTGATATTAAACTGGTATATATTTTTAGCCTTCAAAAAACACCTGCACGTTTAAGATTTATGAAAAACCAACAATATTCATAGTGCTACTCGAATTGAAAATCAAACGAAAAAGCTTGGGTAAATTCCTGCAGAGTGTAACACAAAAACGTTGTCATGAACAGCTTTGCGATATGAACTTCTGAATGTCTAACAAACATTCTTTTTCATTTCCAGGCGATTAGTATTCAATGTGTTTCAAAAATAGGCCACTTAGCTAAGCATCAAAGCCGGAATTATTTCGGCCGAAAAAAAAACATTCAAATTGAAACACGGATAGCCGGTTACGGTGCAAGTAGCACAGAATGTCCCGACCGTAGTCTTAGAAAAAACAATAAAAAAGTTTCTTCAAATTAGTGTCGTTTTTTCGGCGTGGTGTAAAAGGACCTGAACGAAAAATTAGAGATTAGGCATATTCGACAGTCATAGTAAAATATGCAAACTGTAAAACAATTTTTCAAGAAAAATGGCTAAAAAACAAAAAATATATATATTTTTTCAATTTTTTTGACAGCTTTTTGAATTTTTGAAGCTATTGATTGCAAAAAGGCGCTAAAATACTGAAAAAACTAACGTTACTCAAGTAAAACTAAATTTTTACGTTTTTAATTAAGCAATTGTAAGCTTTTAAGCATTTAAAATAACACTGCTCGCTCGTTTTATTCGCTCGAATTAAGACGAAAAAGTAAAGACTTCAAACCGGTTTTTCTCGACACGGGTAAAAAAAATTTGAAATCTTTTAATATGGTTCGAATCACGACTATAAGGGCTTTAATATGATATATCACTCAACCCAGTCCGATCATTATTTGTGGTACCTTATTTTCATGGTCTTTCTCATGAAAAAATGTGCTTACCTTTAAAAGTTTTTATTTTGTTCACATTTTCCGGCTTGTGGCGAAATAGTCTGTGGTGAAACTCTCTTCATAATACAAAAATTAAATTAAAAAATGAGACCCACAGAAAAATTTGTGACTTTGCATCCATGATTACGATAAAAATGTTCGCTTTAATCCAATTTACCTGAAAGAACTGATCACTGACGATGAAAAGAAGAACTATATTTCGAATGATCCTCAATGGAGAATCAAGTCATTACAACAAAGCAAATTGAAACAACCCAATTTCACAACACACTACAATAGATTTTAGTTTTAAAATGGTTAGAAGTTCATGTAACCGATGTTTTACAGAGCATAATGGTCTAGATCTACGAAGAAGCCGAATTTCACGAAGTACCACAATTTAGTAAACTCAATTTACTCTAAAATATTCGGCATTGCTAGAGAAAACAGTAATATAATCTTAAATTGGATATTCATCACAAAATAATAGCATAGGAAAAAACTATGCAAAAATTCCTATAAGTGGATAAAAAAAGTATCGCTGACTTGAGCTGGAACGAATTGGTACATGACAAAAGAAATTATTGAAGCCTAAGTGCGCCATAATAGTATAACTTGACAAAAAACAGTTGCAAAAATTGAAAAAAAAAATCTGGAATCAAAACGCGAATATGCTCTTCTGCTGATTGCCCTTTTCTTTTTCAAAACCAGATGGATTGAAATCAAAGCAGAATTGTTCAAATGTCATTCAAAGTCAAAAATTGTCTTCAAAGAGACACTTTGTCTGACTATTGTTTTCCTTCTCTACGATCTTTCTCGTTCTAATCACCGAAACATAACATATCAAGAAGTAAAATCAGGACAAATTCAGGTCAATTATTCCCTGAAATATCGTTTGAGCAATCAAAGAAAGTGATTAAGCGATAGATTAGATAATTTGAAGGAAATTTCATCGGCAATCAGGCGTCAGATACGAAACGATTTTTATGTGAAAAACGAATTTCTTGTAATTTAATCAGTTGGAATTAGCAAATGTAATTAGTAGGAATTAGTAAATGGGAACAAAAACCGGAACGTTCGAACGGTCTTTTAAAGTCGATGGAGTAGTGTGCACTTCAAAAAATGGATATTATAAAAAAAATGAAATTCTTTTTTGAAAATCATCAACCCAATACTCTACGTAAAGTACATCGTGATATATTTCTCATATAGCAAAGTAATAAATACACCAAATACCATGCCTTAATTCAATTTGGAAGGATGGCTAAGACGGATTAGATTTCCGCTCAAGCACTAATAGCACGAAATATATCGCGCGCTAATTTTCCCATATTGGCAATCTTTAAACTCCCATAACTTTACGAAAAATGATCACAGGTGAAATTTCTTTTAAAATTTAAGCTGAAAACAATAATAGCTTTCTAATGATTAAAAATTTCCTGTCAATAATTGCTAGTTAAAATGTCGAAATTTGTCTGGAGAAAAAACCAACCAGAGCACAAAATATTCCATCACTTTCTCCAAAAGTCGAAACATTAATTTTAGCCAAATCAAAAGGTTTTAATCATCAAAATGCTTTATCAAAAAAAAAATCATTCGAAAAATACTTAAAAGGGGATATTTGATATAGAATAGAAACACAGAGGCGAAGCTGCGCGTCGCAAGCATTAGTGAGAACACGACAAAACAAGCAGCTTTATAAAATGACATAAGAAAAATAGAAACACATATTGTCTTCGAACCTGCGACTTCGAGAATTGGAGTAGTCTCACGCCCTGTCCTCTCAGCCACGAACGCTTAATAATCGGAAAACATAGTCACAAAAAAAGCAGCTACATATGCTAATAAATTGCCAATACGATGCAGCAAAAATGGTACAAAATACAAATAGACACAATTTTGCAAGTAATAATCAGGAATATAACAAACTGAAGGCATCTAAGATACCTTTGCATGTAATAAACGGAAAGCTTAACATAGCCAACTGAAAGTTGGAAAAGAGTAATGAACGCAACGAAATTGAGAAAAAATCGACTTAATTTTTTTAAAATATCTTCAATTTTTGAATTTCAAAGAAAACAAAGATGGCCTTAAAGCTCTTTGAACTTGCAAAGCAATTTATAATGGACACTTTTGTGTTATAATAAACCCAAATTGACAAAACTGGATCAATAGGTAAAACTTATTTCGCTGGGAAATCGGATAATTAATTTCCATTTTCGAAATAAGAATTCGATAAGTTTTTGTGACCTTTACATTTTTGCTGTTCGGTAGTGGAATTTGCCTTCCTTTTAACAATCGAAATGCGCTGAACTTAAAAAGAACCGCGAAAAACGACAAAAATCAGCAAGACCTATATAATAGTACTCACTACGTTCATTTCTCTTAAGAACCACATTACGCATAAATTATGCATTTAAAAAAATTGCGAGATATATTGAAATAGAAGAAATTTTCAGAAATCGAGTTTTTACATTTGCTATGTTGTTCGAAGCAAAAAGCCTTTTTCGGTTCATTTGATGAATCAAAAATGCTTCAACTTTGTTACCTTATTACTATTCGAATGTCAGAGCACATGCTACCAGATAGCCGTAGTGTAACCAAAAGTTGCAACAAAATTTGCGACTACGGTTAGAAAAAAAGAGTAGTCATACTATTACACTAGCGCATCTCGTACTTAAGAAAAGAAAAAATTGAAATTCAATTTTTTTTCGGGAACCAACAACATCGCAGTCAGTCATCTTTTCGAAGCAAAAAACGTTTTCGAGTACCCTATATCTGAGCTACTAAAGCTTTTTTAAACCTCAGTTAATGATTTTCGGTCAGAAAATCGCTAGAATGGATCAATATATTCTCAAATCACCAAAACTTAACCGAAAGGCCAAACTTCAAATTGCTTTCTGAAACATTTCAAAAAATTACAACTGAGCAGTTAGGGATTCGACAACGTGCATGCAAATCTTCTAGCAAATTGAGTCTTATTTTTAAAAGAATTTTGCTGTAAGCATTTTTGTCAGCAAATTAGGGCCCATTTGCTGAACAACCAATTACTCATCATAATTTAAGAACCAATCTTGTAGCTAATTACGAAAAGATAAGATATAATTAAAGTTTGTATATTTCAAAGCACTCGAAGCCGTTGACTGTATGCTACGAAGGAACCGACAAAAAGAGGTTTTCTGTGTAAAAGTTAAGTTTCAAATACATTTACTTTTTCAGAAAGAAAATAACATCAAGTTTTATCTCTTTTTGAGAATTTCCAGCATATAATCGTTCCAGCATAGATTGTTCGTAGTTCAGACGCCCTAATCTCAAAGTGAAGCAGCTAAAACTTATATTGCTGAACTAATTGGTGTAAGAAAATGTTTCAAGTTTTTTTTCTATCATTATATCTAGCAGGCCCATTATATTAAAGGGTAGATAATAATTCAGCGAACAAGTCCTGCAGTCAATCCAATCCTTCAAAAAAAACAAATGGATGTGATTTATAAATTGAATTATAGCAAGCAGCAAAACTAAGCTCTTTCAATATCAATTTTTTTTTCGAAAATAGAAAAAATATTCATTAGTAAATTTTTCGGTATTCCGCTACAACCAAAGCATATTATTATCAGCTAGCGAATGAAAAGAAAGACCGAAACCACTACTTAGAAAAAAACACTTAATTAGGAAATTGAAAAATGAATTTAAAAATATTTCTTAAAATTGTCTCGACTGATATCCAATTTCCGAAAAAAAAAACGCCAAGCAATGCAATCACCAGCGTAAAGTAAGCATTCATAATCACTTAACGAGCAGCTTATTAGCTGAAAACCCTTAAGTGAACGCGCGCTGAGCACAATTGCCATTATAATTATTGCCTTAAAGATCTGTTTCCTCTTCACACGATGAAATATAAGATGATTGAAGCAATACAAAATCAGCAGAAAGCATTTGAGGGAGAAAAAAAAACAAAAACGGAACTAAAAATAACCTAATTCAAAATGAGAGTTGATAAATTTACAAAAAAGTGATCGACTTTCATTAAAAGTAAAAACTGTTTAAACCTGAAGACAACATTCAAAACATAAGCAGACAAACGATAGTCAGACATTTCAAGTTTTCTCAGAAAAAAATGGTGGTCCGGTCGGGATCCGAACTCCAGAACCTTAGGATCTCAAAATACGTACTTCACCACTATAACAAGTATGATTGGGCCTTGAGGGTTCCATAGGAAAGCAAGTCCAACTTTTCACAGACAGGTTTCAAACAAGTTGTTTCCAGGAAAAATTCTTCTACCCGATTGCAAGTAACTTGCTCTCGCAAGTTAAAAAAGTCCCTTTCAAAACTTAGGCCATTCAAACTTTTTTTTTGCAAAATATGCACTTTCGTTGTTAGATAGCGTAGTTTGCCGCCCTTTTACCATAGGGAATTGAAACGAATTAGACATAAATCAGAAGTCACACCACGAAAAATCAAAACTGAGCGTTGACAACTACCAAGACTTACATAGTAATTATTTCTTTCATTCTTAAATATGTATCAAACAACATAAGAACAAGAATTAATACCAGCCTGAAAAATAAGAGACCGCTATTTCTGGTTCATTTTTCGAAGTATTAGTCTTACCTGACAGAACTTGACATTGATTTCGTGGCACAAAAATTTTAAAAATTTGACAATTATTCTAAAATAGTTACAAGCCATTAAAGTTTCCGAAACCAAAACTTATCGGAAGATTCCTAATACAATTACAATTAATATGCATTGTACCAAAATAGAAACAATCTTTAGAAACCATGAAACTTTTGAACCTGCGAAAAGCAGAAAATTTGTCAAAAAGAACAAAATATACGGCATACAAAAAAGCTTGTAAACATATTAAATGTAAGAAAATTCGAAATTGTTCCAAAGCAACTAAGAAATGCTGACAATTAAAGCTCGTTCTTTTAAGCCTCAACAATTTTCCTTAAAAAACGTACTTCCATGTTCGTGTAGAATATTTACAACCTTTGACTTCAGTAGCAAAAAAATGTCATTTTTATGATTTTAACATGGGGATTTCAAAAACAAGTGAAAAGTTAAACGTTAATTAAATAACATACAGTAAGATAGATGAGTTTCCACCTAAAATGTTTCGAAATTTAATCAGTTCACGTTGACTCGTAACCCTAATGCAACTATATAAAGAAATTAAGATATACCAATTTAAGTCTATTTAGGGTTTCTGAATTTTTCAATCAAAGTTCCAGGCATCTGTACAAAAAAAGACTTAAAAAACGAGCTTAATTCCTACACTGCTCTCCTTAACTCGGTAATTGTCATGAGAAATTTCATGTTGATAATGAAAACTCCAGAGTTTTGAACAAAATTTGTAACCACATTTTTTGAAAAAAATATCCCTGTTTCCACAAGTAAATTCAATGTTTACAAGTAACACAATTCAATAATTAATAAGCACGAAACTTACTAATCGGTTAAAAAATGGACAATACTGAAGACAACCGTTGATAATTGTTTTCATAAAAAACTTTCAAAGCTCAAAAAAGTTTTAATACGCCATCAAAACACACAAACGCATCATTAACTGTTTTCATCAACGACGCAATAAGAAACCACTAAATCTATGTTATATAAACTGAATAAAAACAAGAAAAAATTGAAAAAAAAAACGAAATTGTATGTTATCAGAGTAGGTAAATGAAGAACTAAAAAAAGTCAATTCAAATTTAACTGGTACCACAACAAGATACCAAAATACGTCTGTTGGTTGACGAAAGTAAAGATTTGGGGCAATAATGATTGTATGACTCTCTTAACAAATATTTTTCATGGAAAAAGTTCTTTTACGGTCTATGAAGCAGTAATAACATCGAAAATTAATGTAAAAAAAAAGAAAATAAAAAGAACAAAATTTTGTAAAAAAAATTAGGGAGTTTTTGTGAAAATCATCACCCCACACGCCATATAAAATGCAAAGTGATAAATTTCGCTTCTACGAAAAATTAATTAAAGCAACTAAGCTTCCTTCAACCAATTCGGAACGCTTTCTATGACGGATTAAATCTCCGCTTACGTGTTAGTAGCGCGAAATATATCACGCGTTAATTGTCCCAAATTGGCCAAAATGCTAATGTTTAAACCCCCATAACTTTACGAGAAATGATCACAGGTGACATATCTTTTCCAATTTAAGCGCAGGACAACAATACTTTCTGAATGATATAAAAAAATTCCGTCAAAATGGCTAGTTAAAAGTCGAAATTTGTTTGAAGAAAAAAAACCACCCCGAGCACAAATACTCCGTTACTTTCGTATCGAAAGTCGGAACAATAAGAGTTATAGCCAGGCATACGACTGATGCATCGAATCAACACAGAAGCCAAGCTGCATTTTGAAATCACAGAATTCTCCACAATATTGCCACTGACGCTTATAAAATGTGGCGAAAGCTAGCTGAAAAAATCCACCAACTTTGCATATGATAAATTTGGAATGTAATAAACTAATGGCAACCACACTACCTTTGCATGCAAAAAATTGGAAAGCATACAGCAAAACTGGGTACAAATTATGCATTTCAAAAATTGTTTGAGTTAGTAAACTTCTGAAAAAGAGTTTTTAAGATTTTTCTGTTAAAAAATAAAAAGTGTTCGTCGGCTCATTTGATGAATTAAGAATGCATCAACTGTGTTAACTAGTTAATAATCAAAAATCAACGCACATGCTATCAATTATTCATTCAGCCTCCTGCCTTAAGGCCATCAAAAATAGCACAAATATTTGCGCCTTAGGAAGGAAAAAAAGTAGCCCTGTAGTATTACACAAAGCTTCGCATTGTAAAAAGTACAGACTTAGGGCATGGAAATTTGATATTGATTAGGGTAAAATTCTGGCAGGGTTTGGACAAATAATCTCAACATCATCAAATCGGCATAGTGAAACCTCAGCTTTTTTAAACAGCTTTAGTCACAGAACATTTACTTGTAAGGGTCAATAAGCACATCGGGAGTATCCATAAATAAAAAAGCTAACAAAATTGCCCTTTAAGTAACAAAGAGCAAAAAAAAACTATTTTTAGGCCCCCCGTCAGAATTTGTTCGAAGTTGCAGGACCCCCTGATAATTTGGAACAGCCTCACAATGAAAACAATTTTTTGAAAATTTCCAATGAGAAAAAGGTCCACCACCCCCGCCCCCTCGTAATTTTCAAACCCCGCGAATTCAGTACCGCAGAGTATGTACTCACAGAAATGAGGGCTCTTTTTAATTCTAGAGCCTATCCATGCGATAACTTCAACTTCGTCCAGATTCAGAGCCAAAAAATTTTGGTCTGTTTCTCGACTTCGTTTTCTCGCAGGCGGTAAGTTATATCATATAATCATCATTTGACCACAAAACCATCTGTAAAATCTCAACTAAGAGGGACAGATACATTTTATATACAATCGAAGACTGTTCATAAAAACGTAAATACGCTTGTAAATCATATTAATACTCGCTCAAAACAAAAACTTTGCGTATACAGAGTAGTAATTGCAATTTACTGTGACGGTATGTAAGTTCACAGACTTGAGAAAATTTGAAATTACGGCTAAAAACTCAACAGCGACGTAACCTGATACTCAGTAATTACAGATTACGATTTACAATTTCAACGCACCGTGCAAAGGTGTTCAATTTTTTAAATTTATATCGAATATATCACAAGTAAAATTTTTACATACAACCTAACAACCTGAATGTCGACGAAAATTTTCTCGGGTAAGTTTCAACTGACAAATTTCTTATTATTTTGATAACGACACTAAACTAAAGTTAATAAGCTGATGCAAAGGACGCATGCGATATTCAGAGCGAAGAAACTCAGAGCAAAAAAAAAACGAAAAAAGAAGAAATTGGTCACATAGCATCCGCTTAAAATGAATTAAAACAAAACTTAATTTCACAATAAATGAAGTCCTAAAAATTAAAACTAAATTCTGGCAGAAAACAAGGATAGCCTGTTACTGTGCAAGTAGCACTGACTGTTCCGACCATAGTCTTAAAAAACACAAACTTTTTTCATTCAAATTAGTGCCGTTTCTTCTGCGTGGTTTGGTAAAAGGAATGAACAAAAAAACTACAAATTAGGCATATTCGACAGTAATAGTAAAACAGGCAAAACGGACATCAGTTTTTGAAGAAAATGACTGAAAAACAAAAAAATATATATTAAAACATAAGAAATCAAAATTTTTTTTGGGATTTTCGTGCAGAAATTTTTGATTCTAAGCTATTGCAAACGACCTAAAATAACCATATATAAGATTGGGCGCTCGATGTACTCGCTCGACACTGGAAAACATTTTTGGCAATTTTTTAAGGTCATTCGAATCACGACTGACGGCTTTAATTTGACATTCTGACATTCGACCCATTCAGATAATTTTGCGTGAAAAACAGAAAAAGAGAAATGGTCGGAGCAATAAAGATATTGGGAGTTCTGTGAAAAGCATTCAAAAACAGTTAGTAGGAGCTGTTCAAAAAATTAAGCCTTTTCAGATAGCAGCACGAAAATAAGCGAAATGGAGCAACGCACAGGACATCTGTTTGCATCTATAAAAGACAGTGCGCCTGCAATCATGCAAAACGGAAACAGATATCCAACAAGTCTGACCTCTAGGAAAAGTGCAAAGACGCGGAGAACTGAGAAACGGGTTCAGGAGTTGTTGAGGGAACATTTGGGTCCAGACAGCGAGAGGGGGGAGGAGAGGTTATTCAGGAGCACAGAAGACTTCACGGTATTCGCAACAACTTTCTGTTCCATTTAATATCAATTTGGAACTATTTCTCCATAATTTTCAAATTTCGTAAATTTTTCAAGTTATGTGGAATAAACGATATTTTCCGTTATCTGTTTAAGATAGTTTTACTTCAATTGTCTTTTCAAAGTCGCATGATAAGAGCAAAAAATATATTCTTTTTTGTAACTTGTTACTAAGGGTAATTTCAACTTATCTGTTTTCACGCCTTAACTACTTTTACTCGTAATAATCTTTCTAGGACCGAAAACCCCTATTCGAAACAAGAACCCAACAAACATCTTACCATCAGAGCCCTACCATCCCAATTGGTCGACTTGAAATCGAAAACCTCTACGATAGGTACAAACACTTGAGCGAAAAAGAAGGTGCTATATTGGGAGACTATCACTCTCCATTTCAAAAGAGAACACCAACTAAATCATATGAGCGGAAACCTTATTCACCCGAAACACAGGTTCGAAACCAAGACAGGAATCTAAACACTTATAGTCGTATTCTAAACCACAGTCAACGTTCAAAGTCGCCATCGCCTAATAGATACTCAAACAAAAAAGCTCCTACATACGAGAAAGAAACACCAATATCGAATGAAACCGAGAAACCTGTTAGTTCTTACGACAAATACGGTCGAAACGAGTTCGACAACGACTCGAAACTATTTCGAAGTTTGCAACCCAAACCAGGTGTTTCAGCTTCCGAATCAAAAAATCATCACCACAACCAGATTGACGAAAACCAGAATTGCTTTAATGCCGATGCGAACAGCAATGGAATTCCGAAACATACTCCGAGAATTCAAAGCAGAAACGCTGGCGTGCAAACTAAAGGCCCAAAATGCTTCGAAGCGAGCATTCAAACAGCCGACAAAAAATTGTCCGACAACACAACGCAAACAAATGAACAACAGTTTTTACCAGTTGATCAATTCGGCGATGATGCAATTATATATCGTCAACATAATTCTGCTACAAACCAACTTGAAAGCGGGTTAAGTATTGAAGAATTCTATGACGATGAAAATGTTTTGCAAAATGAAAGCACCGAAAAATCGATCGATTTCGACCAAGAAAGTTTCAATCCAACACCTCGAAACTCACTCCAACTTACTCGACAAATTGATGAAACTTCAACTTCTAAAAAGAACCAGAAACCGTCAACACGTAAATTCGGCAACGAATCTCTTGACCTTTCGGCACAACAGGGAAATTCGGGCGAATTTTTAACACACCCCAAAGCAAACGCTAGCACACCCTACATGCCTGAAAGTCACAACTACGATTTCGAGTCGGATCAAAAGGATGATATCGAAATTTTAATTCAAGATTATGACAACAACTGTAATCTAGAAGCACGTGATTATACTTCTCATAATATACAAGAACAGTATCCCGAAACCCCCAACTATCATGATCAACGAGAAGATTCATTCTATTTTGATGGTTCGTATCATGAACAAAGTGAGCGAGGTCTAACCAGAGGGGAGGGGGAGGACTATTCTCAATATGGGGGGAGTTTCGGGACAGAAGAGGGTTGGTTACTCCCCCAATCAGGGAATGTAGAAGGAGTTAATTCTGAGCTGGATAGTTTTGACTATGTGGCAATTCAATTTGAAATGGACAAACAGGTAAGATATGGATATAAAAGTTGAGCGTCATTGAGAGATATATAAGATTTATTGAAGAACTCCAAACACGTAAGCATCGTCTGAATTGTTTTCTGGAGTTTGTTTCAAAAAGGGGCACAGATGAGCGTTAGGACAATATTGAATCTTAATAGGAAACACCTCCGGTTTATTCTCCCAAGAAATACGCTGTTCGATCATAAATGTCGAATTCTGTTTCTTTAATGACGTAACCGACTTAGTGGCAACCGTCCAGACTAGAATCTGGTCTGCATACCACGCAGTAATACAGTCTATTGATTCCAACTGATGAACTTCTTTGCTGATTTTCTCAATCGCATTAGTAGATGTGTAGACAAGAGTGATGTCACAGTTCTGATCGAAAAAGCACAACACAAAAGGATATGAGCTGCTCATTTTTATTTTGGGACACTGCTCAGAGTCGAAACTTAAATTCACGTTGTGGCTGAATCGAACTTTCTTCTCCTTAGCATCCCAGTGACACCACTCCAGAGAACAATTATTTAGAGGCGAAACATAAGGCCACAAGAAATTAGCAGACTTCGGGTAGTCGCATGGTTCAAGACAACACTTCACAACGTCATATATTCTCGCAGTCTTGTCTTTCAGCAGTATTAGTATAACATCATGCAAATTGCCAGAACGTCTGCTGCTGGTTTGGAAGATATGAGTGATTTTTGTGTTACATTCCAATCTTTCATCACATGAAAGACCACTCATATTTTGAGCACCATTATTTTTATCAACGGAAACAGTTGAAAATTTGATTTCATTCATGCTGCTTTCTACTCTAGTTATAAGAGGCTGGTAATAGCCGTTCAAATTAAAAATCTGATTACTAGTATTTTCCATGAGCTTCATAAATTCATCCAATTTTTTTTCGAACATTTCACGAATATCTCCAAAATCACAAGAAAAAACTTGGCTTTCTTTTATAATTGAATCATTGTAATGTGGTTCAAAACTCTGTATATCATTTGCAGTCGCCACTATATTCTGCAGTAACTTCGGATTTGATTGACTTAACAGCTCTCGAGTCGTTTTCTGCAATTCCAACAACTTATCATAAACGATTTTCAGGTCATTTGATTCATCCTCGTTCAGTTTCGATTTTTCATCAATTTTTTCCAGCATTTTCTCTTCCAATTTCTTGCACTCTTCTTTGACCAATTCTTTCAAGTCTTCTATTAGTTGCTGGTTTTTGTGACAAATATCCAAACTTGCCTCTTGTTTCAACCTTAGTGGCTTTTCCTTGACCTCTAATTCCGTCAACAACTCGAACACCTTAGCTTTCACTTCTGATGCTTTTTCATCCATTAGCTGAAGCTCGTGCTTGCTATGACTTCTCAAGCATTTCACACAAAACGGAACGTCACATGTTTTGCAATATTCTGTGCAGACAAAACTGTGCTTAGAACATATTAACGGTTCGTTTCCTTTCGAATCGACAATTGAATGGCCTTTCCGGATATGTAAGACTAGGCAGTCTTCGCACAAAAATTCATTGGCTGCAGATTTATCTTGCTTTTCAGAGCAGCTCTGGCAACGATAGAGCTGCATGTTCGGGAAAGTTTCTTCACAAGCTACACAAACAGATTCAGTCATTTTGTATCTGAAAACAAAACACAGTCTCTAACCACGTCCTTATTTATCAATCCAATTTGATAAAAAATTAGCATTTCAATAAATTTCCGTTTTCGCAGTTTATGCCGCAGTGTTAAAGCTCAGTAGCAATCAACAAATATTTTCACGGCACAAACTAATTTTATGAACCCCAATGATCCCGGGTCAGAAATCAATCCAAACTAAATCGATTCAAGACAATTTATTGAAATATAGCATAACATTACTAGGCGCAAAATATTCTTTTTGTACATGCTGTCTTGTGTGGGGAGAAGGGTTTTAAAAAAATGAGCCATTAACAAAAAAATTCAATTTTTAAAGCCTCACTCTCAAGCATCAAGCACAAAATTTGTTGGACCTCGAATAACCGACCTCGAATGTCGATTGAGGGGCGGAAACGTAATGAATTCACTACGTTCATTTAAGCTTTGTCTCAAAGTCAGAACATTAATCGACAAAAATCTACCCATTACCTAGCATGCAGAAAGTAATACAGACTCTAAAACACTAGCAAATAAACATAAAGTGGTAAAACTTATTCTGTGTTCAGCAAAGGAATCTGCGCATGAGTGATGTGTTGACTCAAAACAAACTTATCGAAGAAGAAAGAAGACGCCGAAGACTTCTGGAGTTGGAGAGTAAGAAGAGCCACAACCCCAGCGACTCCCCCAACCACAGTCGCCAACACAGTGGGACCCACTCGGCCAACAGTGAGTAGTTACAATTACAAGTCCAGTAATAAAAACCAGCTCCAGTAGAACCAGTTAGACTATATGCGAGCGAGAATAAAAAGAACAGCGCCTGTTTTAAAAAGTAAAAAACTAAGACTATTAATACAGTTTGAGAAAGTAAAGTAAAAAACGCCTGTGTAAACGATGCGAATATTAAAACCAGTTGGAGCTAGTATGAAAAAACAGTGACAGCATAAGCGAGCCAAAAATATATGGACAATACGGAGTGCGGTCTGTATTTAGACAACCGCGTATTCATACTCGTCAGTAATCAGACAAATATGATATTAACCAATCAGAATCAAGACAAGAAAGAAATTAATAAATAATAAATAAATATTTCGTAAGCTTGCTTTTTCATTTTGAATCTGATTGGTTAATATAGTATTTTGTCTGCTTATTGACGAGTATGAATACTGCTACGCAACCGGACAATACAAACCAGATGCTTACCACATTAGAGTTAAATTATGCACCATATTGAAAAAATGTAGCTCATTTCAAATAACTATTACGCAGCTGGTAGTTGCGTACATTTCCGATACATTTTTATAGCTGCGTACATTTTCTGCATTCTATACAAATACCATCTCGGGTATGAAAAAAGTGAATTCGGGTTTTCAATATTTTGCCAACTATTTTAGTTCAGTCCATTGTTTTTTCGAAACGATATAATCGCCAATAAAATTCCTTAGACAAAACAGAGAAGAACATCTTTTGAGATATTTAGGAAGTTTTATACTTCACCGGCACTTTCTAGTTCCTATGTAGTAAAACATTTTGTAAAGTTAAAGCTGTTCAATACTTGTTCAGTCTTCTAAATATATATTCCCAATTAGAAGTCGAGTCCAATACTGATTGTTTGAGCGGCCGTGACAAAATTATACTGTGCAGTAAATGGATAAAATTTTGAAATTCATCAATAATCATCAGACAAAACTATCTCTTAAACTTCAACAAGACTGCTCGTATCAGGGCGAAGCCCTAAAGGTTCCGACTGCCTTTTAGGGTTTATGGGGCAGTAATAACATAAAAAATAAATGTAATAAAATAAAGATGAAAAAAAATCTAAAATTAGAATTTTTTTAAATGAAACTATCCCCCACATAATTTTTATGAAATTATCACGCCATATAAAGTACAGTGCTGATTTAAATTATCCGGACAAAACGAACAAAACTTGAATTTTCAAACGCGTTTTTCTCAAATTGGGTTAAGATTAGACAAATAGTGAAGAGAACAAAAGTTGCTTAGAATTTCACCAGAATTAATATGGTGCCATTTTTTCTCCGATATTCTCAACAAACATTTTACCCCAAAAATGGGTCATTTTCGCTTTTTTCAATTAATCAAGAATTATGCAGAAACTACTTTGTTAATTGATGAGAAAAGTATATCACAGGAAGCCTCTTACGCAGCTCAACAAAGTTTAAGAAAGGTTAAATCTCCAAAAATTTGCACAAATTGTTTAAAATATATTTTTAAACAGAACTTCTGGGTTTTATATAGTAAAAATCACATTTATTGACTATCAAGTGATAATTTTTTCTCTTATACTGGTTTTGGAGATTTAACCCTTCTAAACTTTGTTGAGCTGCAAAAGAGGCTTCCTGTGATATAATTTTCTTATCAATTGACAAAGAAGTTTCCGCGTATTTCTTGATTAATTGAAAAAAGCCAAAATGACCCATTTTTGGGGTAAAATTTTTGTTGAGAATTTCGGAGAAAAAATGGCACCATATTAATTCTGGTGAAATTCTAAGCAACTTTTGTTCTCTTCACTATTTGTCTAATCTTAACCCAATTTGAGAAAAACGCGTTTGAAAATTCAAGTTTTATGGCAAATAAGTTTCGTTCAACCAATTTGGAACGATTTCTAAGACGGATTAAAGCTCCGCTTACGCGTTAATAGCGCGAAATATATCGCGCGTTAATTGTCCCAAATTGGCCAAAATGACAATCTTTAAACTCCCATAACTCTACGAAAAATAATCACAGGTGAAATATCTTTTCAAATTTAAGCTCAAGACAACAATAGCTTTCGCATGATATAAAAAAATTCCGTCAAAAATGGCTAGTTTAAAAGTCGAAACTTGTCTGAAGAAAAAAAAACCCAACCCGAGCGCAAATATTCCGTTACTTTCGTATCGAAAGTCGGAACAAAAACTCATACCAGCAGCCAGTCGGTTTATATGATAAAATATTTTTTAAATTTCCATGAAACTAACGAAAAATAATTTTTCAATGGCCTTACAAAAATTGCAGTCGGGTTATTGTTTTGGGAAATTTTCATGTAAGTGAACACGCGGTTTATAAACTAGTCAACAACATTAAATTCACTTTTAAGCTCTTACTTTTTAAATAGCTTTTTTATAGTTTTAGTTGAAATTTAAACCGAATATGTTTCATGAGCAAATGAACTGAGCGATCCTACCAAAAAACAAGGTGGTGGAGCGGAGCTTTTTACCACTTACGATACCACATAACAATTAACATTGCAAACTAGCAGACAGAAAAAAAATTACCATTAAAACCTAAATGTTTATCTCGAATGAGGTTTTACTTGCTGGAAACAGGTCCAGCAACACAAGTGACGGAGTTCAATAAAAAAATGAAAAAAATAACAAGTATCGAGCGCCAAATGATTTGACAAAACTTGGGTAAAATCCAGTAAGTCCGAAAACAAAATTGTTGTCATGAAAAACTTCGAACTATATATTCTATTCTAAGCATTTGGTGTGATCCGAAGGAGAGCATTAAAAAGTTAATTTCCTAGAATCGACCCTAAATTAGTTCACTTCAAAAGGACGGATTTTAAAACGCTAAAATGTTTAAATCATATCTGTTGGAGCATTTCCAACAGAAAGACCAGGAGACGAGCCATGTCAACAAAGTTTATTTATGGAAAAAAGTATAGTAACTGGTTGCAAAACTCATGCTAATCACAAAGGTAATAATTTTTAGGATCTACCAGCTGATTTGGGGTTTGAAAATAACAGCTGCCAACATCTATAGTCAGTTTTGCAAAAGGCGTGAAATTGCTACAAACAAAAGATTTTGGGAAGTTTCTCAAACTCAACACCTTAATGCTCTCGCTGAGAATGATGCTTTCCAATGAAGAACTTTTTACACCACTTATTCCTGAGAAAATTCACTCTGAAAAATTGGTAATCTCTTCATCGAACTGGTATCTCGTTAAAAACAAAACCAAATATTTTTTTGTTCGATCGAGGGTAGCTGCGGTCATTTGATCTCGGGCGTTGTAAATATTCTGTATCAACTCCCGAGTAACTTAGTCCAAAATAGACCCAGAAATTAGACAATAAGTTCAGTAAAACCTATATTTCTGTTAGTTAATTTCCACCAGTATAATATTCGTGATGTTATATTTTAATTTCAAGAAGTGAATTTTAAATTATCATGTAAACACCAATTTTCGGTCAAAGTGTGTGTGTGTGTGTGAAGTACTCTTTTCAAAATCTAACACCACACAAGTGCCTGAAAAAATATCACAAAGAAAAAGTTCACCATCTTTCTACGGTGGTTGAAAATTTCAGTAGGTCAGCTCAAATACTGTGAAAATTTCGTAACACTTTATTCACTTTGTCCAATCAGAGTGACTTTTGACATAAGGCATAACTAAAATAATTGAAAAGTATTTCCTTTGTATGACCATTCTTGTAAATATCTGACAACTGTTTTTTTAAAAAAAAATGGAGTTAAAGAGATGTAAAGAGAGAGAGAGAGAGAGAGAGAGAGAGAGAGAGAGGGAGAGGGAGAGAGAGAGGGTGGGGGTTAAAGGAAAAGAGGCGAAGATGAACAAGATACTGATAATTATAACAAAACAACCCACCTGAGCACAACAATGACAAAGGTTAATTGAGATTGCGATGCTAATAATTACTAAAAGTTTTTCTTATTTTCAGCTTCGTCTACAATACAAAACATGAGCCCAACAGACGAGAAAATCAGACAAGTGCAAGAGAGGCGCTTGAAACTAGATCGAGAAAAATTCAACTCTGCACTTGAAAAAGAGGCAAAAAGCATCGAAGTACACGAAAAGTTGAACAGACGTAGCAAAATACCAATGAAATATTTCGCCCAAACGATTTCAAACCCTGTCGTGCTGCCCAAACAGCGTGAACATCACGTGACTTATGACGTGAACAGACAGGGGAGCGGGTTGAGATACCCGGGTCATAATGACTCATACGGGAATAGTTCCAGGAGTGGACAAAGATATCAAGATTTGAGTGAGAGGCCGGATTGGGTTGATATTACACACAAAGGTACGTATGAAACAAGTCCCACATCCCATTTAGAACAAATTACCGGTTTTTTTATCGCTTCCTTTCACCGTTGATTATCACCATATAAACACAACACAAGGACATCCACGTTGGATAAAAATTTCCGGCAAACTATACTTTGTTTTAAATGATAACTCGTGAGGAAATCGACCAACATAACATAAAATAACAAACTGTAGAATTGGTGATTCTACTGTATTACATGCTATAGAAACCTGAGTCTAAAATTGGTAATTCATGATGAAAATGGTTAGAAATTGCGAAATTTGATTTTAACGTAAACCGACTGTATGAACTTGTAGCAATGAAATTCAGTGATAGATAAGCTTAGTTTGAGAGCAAACAATCGTAATCGGACCCTGCACCTTGAATTTGACCTCTAGGGCGAAGATTCGGAAAAGCGCTAAAAATCTGGAAACCCCCCCGGATTGGGAACCACTGGTCCGATCCTTATGAAAATTGGTGGGTGACTAATAGAGATGATTTTAACCGGGCATGCAAATTTCCAGACCCCTGGGGGGCGAGTGATAATGATTTCCGAAAATGCAATTAGCACCTTTTGTAAACCGGTAACTAATGGTCAGAATGACTTCATATTGCAACATGTTGTAGCCCTAGGCGAGGGAAGATCACCACTGGGATTTTGAACGCATCCGGTTATTACTTCCGGTTTTACGCCTTATGTAAACAAAACCCACTTTTTGTTATTTCTCGACCCCTGATAATGCTAGGAGGCTGAAACTTGGGGGGATGGTAGGTTGAGGTAAGACCTATAATTTATCAATGTTTGGACCCAATCCGGCGGCTACGTCGGAAGCTATTAGCACTTGAAAATTGAATAAGGCTATTAACACCTGATAGTGATAATTGACTTGTGATTTTAATGCAGCAATGTGAAGGGGGGCCCAACCCAGTAGGGGGGCATCTAGTGACCCAATCCTCTCCGGAACTTCCTATGGGGTGAAAAATGGCAATTTTAGGGAAAAGTGTTAATTGACCCAATATTTTCGAAAATATGGGAAGGGATGGTCCGATATGAATGAAACTTAGTGAGAATGATCTCCCATCGAAAATAAGACATTTGACCTCGGATGACCTCTAAGAGGTCATTTGGCATTTTTGACTGCAGGACCCCGGAACCCCCTGAAAAGCAAAAAATTAGCATTGTAAGGACCCGTAAGGGGTACCTACCCACCTGGGGAGGTAAGGGGAGGCCCCTATATCGAGAGTTTTTAGTTTTGGCCTTTGTACCCAAGCGAAAGTGATTTTCTGTAATTAGCAAACATTGTGGTCAGCTTAACCCACTCCACTTGGACTTTCGATAAGAACGACAAACAAAAAAAAATACAGCCCCGTACAAAAATTGGTAACATCTATGGGGGGAAATAGGAATTTCGAGATGAAGATTTTATGAACAGTCCCAGCATATTAAATAAATTCTTGTGGTGTTTTTTCGGATCAAAACGGACACGGGGAAGGGAATTACCCAGCCCTTGGACTTAAGGGAATAAAATTTAAAATGACCAAAAATGGAATTTTTTCAAGTATCACGGAAGTTAAATTACCGGTTGCGGGAGAACTACCCAATTCATAGGAAAGGGAAAAAGTTAGGAAGAACTAAAATAAAGTCATGCAAGGGGTCATTTGTCAAATACTCTTGGGAGCTGATTTTGTAGTTGAACCCAATGTTTGCTCAGTATGTCCTGATTAACTAAGTGGCACCCCGATGTTAAATTAAAGCTGACCTAATGGTTGATTCAGCTGATAAGTCCTGAGTGGCAGCTAGTTAAGTGAATGTTAGTAGGGATAGGGAACGGTACGCCTCTGACCGAACCGAAAGTAAATAAAGATAACGATACGCGATTAAGGTACAACCACCGAACTGGCAGAACAGTGATAACTACTAGAGAGAGTAGTGGGTTCTCAGTTACTTAGAGAACAGTGTTAGCTACTACTAAGGGTAGTTGGTTCTCAATCAGAGAAGAGAACAATTATTGCTAGTGAGCGAGTTGCGCTGGAACCCGAGTTTAGTATCGGGTTGAGACAGTTGTGCGAGCGAGTTGCGCTGGAACCCGAGTTTAGTACCGGGTTGAGACAGTGCGAGCGAGTTGCGCTGGAACCCGAGTTTAGTACCGGGTTGAACTAGTTGCGTCGCTGCTCTGCTAGAGTAGGCGAGTTTTGAATAGAGTCAACCGAACATTTACGAGTGATTGAACGGAACGGGACGCGGGCTTCAATATAGAAGTTGCTAAATAGTAGTTAGCACATTAAGGGCACTGTAAATTGTTTTATTTCCTTTGCGATTGAGAATTTACTTATTGTACCCACGATTTGCTGAACTAGCTAAAAGCGTGAGAGGAGAGCCGAAAAGAGCCTAAATTAAGGAGGAAGTTGCGTAATCCTTTGATCGGCCGATTTAGTCTGACCACCAACATAACCCTTTCGGGATTGTGGATCATATCGTGTCTTAGTGTCCCCCGCCATTACACGGTATAAAGGGGAGAAACTCTGCGGCAGTTGAGTAGAGTGAAAACCTGCTTAGAGGAGACGACTCCCCGGAAAAGAATCTACATTGGCGCTCCTGGGTGGGCTTTCTTTATCGAGCGAATAACGATCTTTGGATTCGGCAACAACGAGTGTTGGACGAAGAGACCGAACAACGAAGAAGAAAATGAATCGAGACAATCAAGATGCAAGCGAAGTGTTATTCAAAGCGAGAATAGACGATCTGTTTCTGTTAAGAACCAACTTAGGTAGCGTGGTTTATTCGAATTAGATCAACTACGTCGATTTTAGAATGATGCATCCGAGGAAGGAACTGAGGAACTACTGCGGTCCAAGGCATGACGGTGCTGCCATTCATGGCTGGACAATCATGAAGTTGGAGATAGGATCAATAACCGAAAAAATAGTAGTTATCGTTGTGGAGAACTTGTTCAGACCCTTGTTGATTAGTCTCAGCACGCTGAAAAGAAAGTCAGAAATCAGGGTTGACTATCAGCGGCGCTGTATTCATGCAAGCGATAGTTCAGTGCCATTGCTGGAAGAGATTGGCACTCCCTTCGGTGAAAGCAGAATGAGGCAGATTATGACTCCCTCCGACTATCCCAGAATGCTGACAGGAGAAGTTGGAGGAGAACATTTTGCCCCCAGATCGGAATCGGCTAACAAGGGACGAACATTCGTTTGGGGCAGTGTGTGTGACGAAATAGTGGACATTGAGATTGACAATAGGACAGATTGCAATTTGATATCCGAAGGTTTGCTTGAACCCCTCGGGTGCGAAGACGCTGTCCGGAGATTCAATGGAAAGTTGAAAGGAACATTCAATGGAAAAGAACGAAAGGTCGAGGCCCTCGGATACATCAGAACAAGAGTCGGATTCGGTAGCTTTGAGGGAACCTTCATGTTGATCGTTGTCAGTAACCGAGTTCTCGATTCAGATGTAGTCCTGAGTGCTCAGGGACTTGCGGAGTGTCACAAACTATTCGTAAGCCACAAAAAAAAGAGCGCTGTGTCACGAGAGCAACCTAATGGAGCCGACGCTAGTAGTTTTTGAGAAACTACCAAAGACATCAATGATCATGCTGGACGAAGAAACGGTTGGGACGAAAAAGAAGGTATCGATGTGGAATGTGGAAGAATCGAAGAAGCCGAAAACGGGTATGGATAGCGAACGGACCACGCCGGTCGAACCAGATTCAACGACGGCAGCTCACTCGATACGAAGTGATAATGACGATTCATCGGGCAGCAGAAGGATGCTGGAAGCGGCTGAAGTGCCAACCGAGGTTAACCCGAAGCTGCACTTGATTGATGGGTTCGTGGACAACTTCCTAGTTCGGATGGAGCTGTAAGAGACTACTGCAGTCCACATGATGAAAATATGTGCTTTCATGATCCTAGAATCTTCCCCTCAGCTTCAGGCGTTCAATGGGAAAATTCACGAATGCTGGGACGATCAGGTTAGTGACGTTGTTGTTTTGTACCAGGCAGAAGTGGATGTGCAGATTGGGACATTCACCGAGCGGCTGGATGTTGTTGTGGTGGCGGCTACTGAGATAGAAGTCGACGTGGTTCTGAGTCTCAAACAATTGGAAGGACGACACGGGATGCTCCTCGAGCGTCCCAGAGGGGTGCTACGGACTGGAAGGGAAGAAACGATTCAGGTGATCACCGAAGATTGTGAAGACATGATCCCACATCACTTCGAAGTTGTGCTTGACGGGGGCAGAAACCCCGAGGTCCCAAGAGCAACGAGCAAAGGAAAAGACAAAACCAAGCTAGCCGAGCCGATCCACGAAGGGCTGGGTGTATTGGCAGAACCTGTTGGCATCACATCAAGACAACGTAGCGTTGAAACAGAGTTTACTGCACGCGCTGAGACCCAATGTTCCGGTTCTGTAACTAGCGAGGGTAAAATTCAGGTCGCAACGGAAGTCGAATCGAATGCAGGGCGGAGAACCAGATACGTTGAAACTCGCAGGAGGTTTGTGAATGCGTTCGCCAATGGTGTGTAAATGGATACCGAACTTAACGACGAGATTGCGGGCAATTTGATGCGACTGGACGCTTACCAGACGTTGCAGCCACGGCCAGCTATACTGCAGTTCAACGGAAGATTGATTGGAAGATGTGACGGAAATGTCCGAGATGTCGAAAAGTTGGGATTAATTTTGGTGGAAATCAAGTTGGGGAGACTGAAGAGGACATTCCCAGCAGTACTCTTGGAGAACCACGAGGTGGTCACGGTATGGTTCTGAGTACTCGATGGATGAATGAAGGTATAGGAAGTTTCTATGATGAGCAGTCGAAGAAATTTTTCACGAGTTCCGAACCAATTTCGGCGGTTTCATTCGAATGGGAGTCGTGCCCAAGGCCACAGAAAATTGAACTCGCAGAGGAGTCTCAGACACAGTTAGTAGATCGGAAAGACGGAGATGACAAGCCGGTGGTGGGACGCGAAGTGAAGGAGTCAC